GGGAAACGCTAATTTCCATATCTGGATTTCAGCTCCGGATCTTCCTCTGTCACACAGCTTGTCACACAGTGATACGAACAGTAATGATGGTGTCAGGTTTCCCATATCAATTCCAAAGAACAGCTTTTATTTGAAATAGAAATCTTTGTAACATTATGTCTTTACTGTCACTTTGAAGAAATATGTCCGCTGAAGCGTAAAAGTAGTAATTTCTTTCAAAGATAAAATCTAACTGATCCCAAACTTTGAACGTGTATGTGTATCATGTGAATCAATGTAAATACAAACATTTATTTTAGGTGAAATGGTTTTAAAATAAAAGATAATAACATGGCATGTTTGGCTGTACAGTTAAATGTGCATGCATTTAATGTACAGTATGTTGATGAATACAAGTCACTAAGCTACCCAGAAATTACTACTCGTTTTGCAGGTTTATATGGTTAATCTCAGGGAGATTTTCCCCAACAAGAAATATGTACAGTAAAGTCACTCAGGATGTGAAAGTATCCGCTCAATAAGGAATGATAACAATAACACACAAACCTGATGGTCTTGCAGAGGACGCTTGCAGTTCCTGTTGAGTTTATGTTGGATGAAAGCATCCAGAGCAGAAAACTCCTCCAGACATCTGCCACATTTATGAATATCCTCATCTGACAGGGAACACAAACATACTGACCTAACTTCAATTTGACAGATCATGCATATTGTGAAATTATCTGTGCAAAGAATGAATTAAAGAATAATTTACTGACCTAAAATAATCACATTTTCACACAGCTGTGGCATATTTTTTTGCATCTAAAAAAAGTTTTTATAGGCAATATATATATATATTTATAAGATATACATTTATTAATAAATAATTAAATATCATTTATTAATTGTGCATTTAGGACATAAAATGCTAGCAAGAAAGACAAAGCAATTTTATTCCATGAATATTTAAAATGCAATTTCCATCACAGAATGCTATTCAACAAAATGCAGCTGACTTTGTTGTGGAAATGGCCATCCATTGTGTTTTAAGAGTGTTGATTTTCTTTTATGTAAAAATCTACATGATCAAAAGTGTCTGCTGCCTTGCAGTTTTAATATCAGTCTTTCTTTACTGATGCAGCAAGAACATGGATGAGCTGTTAGATCTTCTTCATCCAAATCAGTACGATGCTAAGCAGCATTAGCAGCCTAAACATGCTGCTTAAATATAACATTGCAGCTAATGGAGATTTTGCTAGCGTGACTGAACGACCCAAAGTCAGGCCCACACATTTAATCGCGTTTTTACTATGTGATTGTGTCCCGTAACACTGGCTCTACCTTCGTCTCCAAGAGTGGTTTGGATGGTGATGATGTTGCTATGCTCCGTTTGGTCGGTAACTGTTGCTGCCGTATTATTATTTTCTTCAGTCATGTCGTTCCAGACCTCCGTCTCTGTCGCAACGCTTCAGCAAGGAAAACATGGCGGATTTACGACCTCGTAGTCATAACAACAAAAGGGCGGCGAGTTGAGCGAGAGCGAGCAGCACGGGGCAGCACGTCATAGTAAATTCAAAATAAAGGCGCGCTCACTCATATTCTCCAGTCAAATCGGTTCTTTCGAAAACTGTTTAAGTATTTTATTTATTTATAATATATAGTTATATTTGATACGTATGCTAATCGTAATTTCATGTGTTCCATCCCAGGCAATATAGTACATTTATTTTTGACTTTTTCTGCCTTAAAGGGATAGTTCATAGTTTGTCATCATTTACTCACCCTCATGTTGTTCCAAACCTATATTAATTTCTTTCCTCTGTTGAAGTAAAAAGATATTTTGAAGAATGTTGGTAACCTTAAACCAGACATTTGACCCTGGCACCCATTGACTTCCATAGTATTTTTTTTTTTTCAACATTCTTCAAAATATCCTCTTTTGTGTTCAACAGAGGAAATAACTCATACAGGTGTGGAACAACATGAGGGTGAGTAAATGACGACATATTTTTCATTTTTGGGTGAACTATATCTTTAATGTCCCAAGTTACTATCAGCTAGCTTTCAGTTCTCTGTCTCAGATCCATTGAAAATACCTGACTCAAAATAACAATTCATTCACGTATAGGACATCGCCACAAAGTAAGTCATTTCATTACAATGTTCAGTCCAAACCCAAAAACACAACATTAAATTTAGCCTATTAAGTAAATATTCTTATTGAACAGTAAATTGTCTTAAGGACTATGATTATCTATTAAATGATCTGTCACACAACAGTGTCATATTTGTGATGTTAAATTTGAGAACTTTGAAATTAGAAATTAAATATTAGTTTCCTTCATACTTTAACATGATCACAGAGATAAGTAACAACGCAATGCTACAGCATATTTTCTTGATTATCATACATTTTTACGCTGACTTTCATTCACAACTCTCAGACAGAGACAGAAAAGTCTTTTATAACTGGCCCTATATTCACTGTGGAATGTATAGTGTCTGAATACTGGAAGCATAGAAACTATTCAGTGTTGTTGCGATTTTGCATTAATAAGCAAAGAAAACAAAGTACAAAATACATTTAACCATTTTTATTCTTGTAAACCCCTCAAAAAACACAGAAATGAATCAATTTCAAACAAATCATGTTTAAGCAAATAATGTTTTAGTATTATAATGCAATAGAAGTATTATAATGCAGTACTATAATGCAAAATAAGCTCCAGGACCAGCAGGTTTTCAGGTTTAATGCTTTTTTACACCTAAATGGAACTGTGGCGGCGAGCAGACGAGGCCGAGGGCCGTGGGAGGACGGCGCGAGGCCGGTGGCGTGATTGCTGATGAGCGTCATCTGTCGTCCTTGAGGGGCTGCTGTCTTTTACTTAAGTTTTGTGTGTATTTTATTATTATTAAATTGTGTGTTGAATGTTCGCCGGCTCCGCCTCCTTCTTCCCACAACATCTAACTGCGGTACAGGAACTATCTGTAGAACTATGAATGCTGAGTAATAGGTACAACACTAAAGACACCTATAATCTTTATTGAGGCTCTCAATTGTAACATTTCCAAAAGATTGCACATTTTAACACAATTGCACCATATGTGGGTTCCCCAAACTACACAAATGTGCACAATACAATACAAATAGATCCTCACACCGTGTCCGTTACACGCGACGCGCGATGACGGCGACACACAACGATTTAGAAACAGTTTCTATTTTTCTCTGACTTCGCGCCTGGAACAACAAACACAAAGTGTGGCATAATCTCAGGGACTGTTTATGTGCTTTATTTAATGTCAAAAGCGTGTAATGTGACTTTGAATATCATTTAGTGCTCCCAGGTTTGTAGAGCTAAAAGCAACAATGGATAATTCACCTCAGATCTTGAAATTTAACGAATGGAAACTGATCAAACTGTGAACAAACAAGTGTATTATTTGACAAAGATTTTTTTAGTAACTCGAGTAATTCAGTTAGTAGTTCACTATCAGTATAGCCTATGTATTATGTAATGTTTAAATGGTGTAATATTTGTGAATTTGATTATGTAACGTTAGCCTACCCATTTTCTTGCGATTGCCGTCAAGATCATAGACATAATACATAGACCCGGCCACTGGATCGTACGTCAACGGCGCCGCCATATTGCGGAGGGCAACTTTCCCTTACCTCTCATACCGGGAATTGATAAAAATGCCTGTTTCGTGCGCTGCTTGGGGCTGTACAAATCGCCGCACAATTGAAAACAGGGCTCGTGGAATTACCTTTCACAAGCAAGACTGAACATTTGTTTCTGGTTGTATTTGGTCATGATATAATTAGTAATAGTAACGTTCAGAGGAAAAAGCCCGCGAAATTTAAAATACTACTGTTATTGTGTCACGAAATGTAGTTTTAATAGTTTTTCAGTCTACAATGTAGTTGTTTAAAGTTCAAATCTGTGTAAAGAAACTTACTTTATAAAGATAGCGCCTATTTAAAAGATGTGAGATTCAGGCGATCACCGGGCGCTCATGTAAGTTACCCCGCCTGGAACGGTATAGGGGACTTCACAATTCGTATCCATAAAAAGCCAGATAGGCCTACATGACAAGCCTGAGCTTTGACAATTCTAACTAACGAGATTTTAAATAACTAGAGATGAAACTTTTTGTACACCGCGTACAAACCACTGAAATCGGTTGATAAATGTAAAAACTTTTTTCTTTTTTTATCCAGAAAAACCGAAGCTCACCCGTTCACTTGCATTTGTTTACAGTGCGGTCTTGCCCTCAGTAAAATGGCGGACGCGTTGACGCATCGCAGCAACGTTCCAAAGCGGCCAATAGGGCGTCTATGTATTTATATAAATATGGTCAAGATTACTCTCTGTGCACTTGCCGCAAGAGCCCGCCCACATGCTGTTCTGATTGGCTGTGAGTTTTGATTGATTTTTACGCATCTCGCAGCCGCGTCTAGTGTGGACCAGAGCCATATAGAGATCACTCTATATGGCTCTGGTGTGGACCAAGGGGCTAATCCATCAGCTGGAAACTGAAGCTTCCCTTAGGGCCCATCACCTGCTGTTAGCATTCCATTGACTCACATTCATTTTGGCGTCACTTTGACAGCGAATAACTTCACATCTGAGGCGTCCAAAGACATTTGTCCATTATTTATTTTTAAAGAAACACGACAATGTATAAAAGGCTCCATTACTTTGGGGGGACGTGGAGTCAAGGGAGAAGCCAATAGAGAGTCATAAAGTTGCTCCTGCTGCTAGCTCATGGACAGCTCCTACTCACGCTCTCCGTCTCTGCAAGATTCGGAAGGGATTGATTCAGATTCCTCTTGGCACAGCTACTAGAAGACTTACAACCGTCAGACAGGTTGCTCAGGTCACATCCACGTCGTCAAGCTCAGTTTGAGCCTGCGCAGTTCGCTCAGCCATCAGGAAGTGAGTGCTTCTAATTGACTTCACTTTTCTCCGTTGAAATCTATGGGGTCGCTGTATCCATTTCTTTTACGGTCTATGGTTCTCACCAATGGATGAGAGCGAAGGGGAGTCGTCCATCTTTTTTTACAGTCTATGGTGTGGACAGACAAATTATTTGTCGCTGGAATCTTATCGCATCGCGTCTGGTTAGGACACGGTGTAGACATTTAATAAATAAAAAAAAGAGCTGTACCAATTTAACTGGAAAGGCAAATGATTTACACAAACTACTAAGTACACATGCAAAAACACACAAAAAACGCATCAATGCACAGTGTCCACTTCTTCAAGAAGTGCATGCATAGTGTAATTACAGTACTTTTTTAGAGTACTACTTTTAATGTTATTACCACTACCAGCGAAGCCTTCAGGAAATAAGCAGGATCCCTGAAGTGGAAAAAACACCTGTTACTGAGAGCACGACAGGTTTGAAAGTCACATTTTGGAATATACCCCCCTGTTGGTCCGCTTGTCCGTTTCACCTAGTTAACAAGGCTTCAACCTTTGGCTGTCCATTGAGTTTAATGATTCGTTCTACGTCAACCACCATTTCATTAAGTCTTTCTAGGTGTTCGTTGACGTTCTCTTCCAACCACTCTTCTACTGTGTCTGGGTAGAAGACGGCTTCCATAATTTGCTGGAAAGTTTTTAAAAAGGAATCCCATTCATTCATCAATCTGACAAGGAAGAAAAGCAAAATATTTAGGTTACTGTAAATATGTTTCACCCCACAGCATGAACAAGCTTAACTAGATCAACTCTTTGAACCAGAATTTCTAGTGTATGGTTTATATTAATCTCCCACACCTGATAGCAAACATACATTGTGACAAATACATTCATGAGTGTAGCATGACCTCTCCAGTCAGTCGTAATTACTGGACAAGGATTAAACAAATTGATACAGACCAATTCATTTATGACCATCATTTGTGAACCGTTTCTGAGAACTTAGTGAAAAGCTTAGTGAAAAGAACCGTCTCAAAACAACAAATGGCTCACTATGACTGTGGGAAACCTGCATCTAAATAATAACCAAAATGTTTTATGAAAAATATTAAAAAGAAAATATACTTGCTAATAACTGTTAAAAGATATGACAGAGCAAAAAAAAAAAACGTACTTTTTCAGTTCATCTTTGAAAAATCCAAGATTACGAGGGTTTGCAAAGTTGTGTTTGCGATGATAAGAACTAAATGATCCCCTGAAATGGCTGCACAACACAAGACCAACAAAACAACCAAGTGAAAGAATTAATACTGGCTACTTCAAATTAATGTCATTTGAGTTCATATTTTCTGATCACTCACTAGCTTTGCATGATCTTTTTGACTGAACTCTCAAGGTTGTCGTTGATCTTCTTCACCATTTCATAAACATCTGAGCCAGGAAAGGATACACCCTTACTGCAGAACATTCAAGAAAAGATCTGTTACAAACGTGTGTGTGTGTGTGTGTGTGTGTGTGTGTGTTTTCAAACATTTTCATACCACTCATTTTTGCTCAGCTCAATTTCACAGCCAAGAATGCGTTGCACTTCACTCTGTGCCTTGGCATCAAATGAACCTAACACACACAAAACACATGACAGCATGATACCTTTGCAATACATCACATATGATTTTATTCCCATACTTAACCATTCCTGAAATAAAATTTGTTGGTCAGCATAATCCATATATACACACCATAAATCCATATACTGTACATGGATTTCATAAATACTCACCATATTTTAGTGTCTGAAGACAGACAGCCAGAGAAGGGATGCCCACCGGGAGAAGCTCACACAGCACAGTGTGATGCTCATACCTTAAACACACATTTTCAGTTTTTCATTAACCACAGTAATAGTCTACTGTTGTTGATACACAATGCTTATTCATTTACTACAGTGGTTCCCGAACTGGGGTATGGGAATGCTGTGTTTTGCCCTTCATTTAATTCTACACCACCTTAAAATCACATTAAAACCGAGCATGCATTTCTGACAGGCAAAATGCCATAAAAGGTCAAATACATGAGATCCAATCAAATTACCTCATCTTTTGTGATCAAAACTGACTGCATCCACACAAGCAGCATGCTTTGAATAGGTTGCGTGCAGTCTGCTTTTAGCAAATTTACATAACTGCCTTTCTTGACAATGTACCTTTGTAAAAGTGAGGATTTAGCACTTACTAGCATTAAGAACAAATATAGACAGACTGTGCATACAGATCTATTTAAGACTGCAATGAGCGAGAGTGCATTTTTTTTCCAAATATCCACACGATTGCAAATGTGACATTGATTTTATACAACAGTTCAACAAACAAAATGGTAATATTAAGTGATTTCAGTATTGTTTGCTCTATTTTGCAACCAAATAATAGTTCCAACGAAAGCAACACCAGTTCCATTTCGAGTTCGGTTCACTCGGCATTGCGTCAGAGCTGGCGCTATGGGGTTATCCCCTCCTTCCTCAAATCTACTGAAGCCGTATGAAATCTCACGGGCGAGAATTCACCTGCCAATGTGAAATAGAGGCGTCTTAGAGCGGCGGTCTGTCCTGTTTAAGGCACAAAATACTCCGGCCACTCGCTTATTCGTTGCCTTCTGTGATAAATACCGGCTGTACAGCTGTTTTTCATATGGGTGTGTAGTGTTTGAGCGGCAAATTGCATTGTTTTAGACTAAAAATTCTTCAGCTTCTGTCATGTTATACAGAAGTGTGGCAGGCTACTGACCGGGACCTGACAAATGGCGGTTCCCATTCCGTCTTGGACCAAATAACGCTGTCAAAGCATGCGTTTAAATGAGCACATTGAAACAGATCCTCGTACAGGTTTGGCCAGGGGGCTGGATTAGTGAACCTAAAATATGTCAACTTTCATATTCAGATAGCGCATGTCGCTAATCATTTTCATATTCGCCCGGTAAAATGTCCTGGCAATAAAAATGCCAAATGGCAAAAAAAAAGGCTGATCACCTCTCGCCCCTCTACATGACGGCAAAAAATCCGTCATGAGCACTCTGGTCAGTTCTGTGCTTTGAATGTTTCCTCACTTGCGCTGCAAGTTTGGCTTTGCAAATGATTATCTACCTGCTTCATAACTTGACGAACGGCATTTTTGGTTGGTGTTCAAATTGGTCATGTGTAGAAATTGTTGTTAACCGTTGTTAAAGCCCCTGAAAGTGGTGTTTAACTAGGTGGTATACTGTAGCTGGTTCACAGTCTGTTGTCACAGGCGCAAACACTGCAGCTTCTCTGGCTCTGCACAAATGATGGCCCTTGTAGGTTAAATCTATGTGTATTGCTGTTGTACACATTCATGGTGTAATAAGAACAGATGGGAATCAGTCATCGCTTTTTGGTCATTTGTGGAAAAAACCTATACCAGATGTGCTACGAGGCACCTATGCATATTACTTTTTACACGTGTTATTATAGCCTTAATGTTGCTTACTTGCATCTGATGTATTGTCTGTGCATGAGGAATCAAGTTAGCTGAAAGCAATATTCAGCCTTCGTCTTCAACGGTTTCAGCCCCGACGAGATGGTGGTGTTGTCTAAGTGATTTATTTTGATGATATAGTTTAAGAAATTATTATATTAAATTATTAAGAAAAAAAATATGTAAGTTGTAAACTGCTGTTTATTTGCACCACTGTTTATTTGAGTTTTAGGATTCTGCACTCTGCTTTAGTCTAAAGATTCTGAGGCAATGGCGTCCAGCACCGCCTTATAGTGCGGGTGAGCCCGCCTCTACTTGGCTCGCTTGAATGGCATTGGTGGGTGAATTCTCGCCCACGAGATTTCATACGGCTTCAGTAGATTCGGAGGGGGCAACCCCATAGCGCAAGCTCTGACGCAATGTCTCTCGTTTCCTCCTCTCTCAAGGAACCAAGGTTACAATAGGCAACCGGAGACGTTTTCAACACACGCTTCGTGAACGAATCTGTGACTTTTAATGAATTGTGAGAGACAATGATTCAATTGCCACTTGCTTAGTTAGTGAATGAATGAATGGACTCGATGACTCACTCATTAAGACAGTAACTTGGCGTCACCTACTAACTTCACTTGGTATCACCATCATTGCATATTTCTCTATTGAATTTTGTTTGTTTGTTTAAAACATTTATTTTATAAAGGTAAAAAATGCACTGTAACATCAATTTAAGGGGGCAAATATGGTCCCTTATTGGAAAATGTGGAAGTGGAAAATTGTAAGAGAGGGGGTACCCAGAATAATGTTAATTGCCTCAGGGGATACGCCTCTGTAAAAAGTTTGGGAACCACTGATTTACTAGATCGCAAACACTGTAATGCTTTAGGTTTGGGAGTTCCTAAAACTTTTCTACCTTTTAAGGTTTGCGTAATTGCACGTTTAATGGCATAAAATATTTGAAGAAACAATCGAGTAAAACTGCAAGCTTACCTCTGCCAGCCAGTCAGCACAATGCCATGGAATCTCACAGACTTGTACTGTGGCATGGATGTAATGACTTCTTGCCACTGCAGGTGGTTTTTTAAATGGTGAGTGATTGGAGTCCATGTCTGGTCAATTCCAGAGGCTCCTTTAAAAGCACTAGCAAACCACACGCCCTGAAATCCAGCCTCCTCATACTTAGAGATATAGTTACCTACAAACAATAAGTAAATATTGTGTGAGAAAATGTTTGAGAAAAAAATGTGACAAATTTCAAAAGTTTGGGGTGGGAAAGATTATTCATTGTTTCATAAAGAAGGTGAATCGTTTCATAGGTGAATTTTTTACGTTTTTATAAAAGACTACAAAGAGAATTTTTTTTCTTCTGAATAATATGCATAGATTAATCATTCACAATAAGGAATATGTTTTAAGCGAATAAACTGGGGCAATATTTTCATGTTGACTGTCATTTATAAGAAACAGAAGATGGCCTCACCGATCTCCTTCACGTTCATGTTTTGGGTGTACTCCCATATCATTGGCGATGCAAAATCTTGCAAACCTGATTCTAAAAATCAGAACCAAAAATATTACACTTGCTTTTCTGTGCTATTGCCATTGTTGTATTTTTGAAAGCTTAAAAGGTGCACAAAGTAACTTTCAATTGAAAACGTAATTGTCCCAGCACTTTATGCCCCTTTTTCATACTTTCAGTTACGGAATAAATCATTTCATAAGGTGACAAATATTTAGCATGATGCTTCATCCACACCAATATCATCATATGCAAATACATTACAGTAAATTAACAATGTGAAACTGATGTCTTCTTTAACTGTAACAGCAGCCCACAATGTGTGCAATGTGGGTTTGGATATTTTGGTCATTCCCATAGAGTTTGGTTTGAAATAAAACTAATGCCATTGTCACCTGTGGCTTTTGAGCTCTCAATGATAATTTGGATAAATTGAATTGATCAAAATTGACACCTGCAATTTAAAGAAATAATGAATTTAAAGGCTTGCATCAAACCTTTGATAGATTTGGTGCTGGACTTCCTAAACATGTCATCCCACAAGATCAGCTTGATTCCTCGCTTCAGTTTGGTCATAAATTTCCCCACTGCGGTCACATGATTGAGGTACAGCCTTCCCATGTCTCCATTGTTGGCCTCCAGCCAGCGCTTCGAATCTTCGCTTTCGCCCAGGCCACGCACCTAAATGTATTAAATCAAAAGTAGACAGCTCTGGGGGTTACGCATTACAAGTAACATGAGTTATGTAATCAGATTACTTTTTTCAAGTAAATTGTAAAGTAATGCATTACTTTTAAAATTACAAGAAAATATCTGAGATACTTTTTCAAATATGCTCAATTACACAAATATACTTTATGTATTTATTCTCACTTTATTAACCAATTTGCGGAAAAATACTGTTTTCGAGAAACAGTCGTGACTAGCAAGTTAATTTCTTCAACAATGCATTGGACGAAGCAACGAGTTACGTTGTTGTACGGGAAACGCAGTCCAGAATGGCAGAACAACTAAAAGGTTTGTTTGAGCTGCACCCTCCACTGTACAGATGTGGCTTATTCGTTTAACTTTTGGTGTGAAAGGTGTGAAAAGGGCCTTTACATTTGCCAAGAATAGAACTTTTTTTGTTATTGAATAAAAAGTAACAAAGTTTTAGGGAGTAGCAAAATACTATAATGCATTACTTCCCCAACTCTGGCAGTGGATATAAATCATTCCCTCAAAAATGAAAACAATCTCATCATGCCTTCCTGTTATTTTCTTTCTTTCATGAAACGACCATTCTTAACTGATCCGTAGAGAATAAAGATCCACCAACCTCGTCAGCTCCAATGTGGAACCACCGTGCTTCCTGGTGCTTCTTCATAACTTGAGTTAACATGTCCTGAACAAGTTCCATGCTTTCTGGGGCCAGAGGGTTTAGGCTATTGGGAAAATTTTCCACTTCTCTCAATTTGAAATACTTCTTGTGTTTTAACACAAACTGAAATGTGAACAGAAAGACTGGTTAAGTGTAAGCAGGAGTGTTAGGCATGCTAATAAAGTCAAGTAAAAACACAATGCATCTACAGCATTTGAATGAGTTTTGCCTCCAAACACAACCACCATGAATGGTTGACATTGATGCGCATGTAAAAAAAATGTAAAGGTGCCTTTAGCGCTTTAACGAAGTATATGTAGTGAGAACATGTTTGAGATAAATATATTGTTTTATGATAATTAGCTTCTTCTGTACTTGCCTCCATGTGTCCGAACACCTGCACAAGAGGAATTAGTTCAAGCTTGTGCTGTTTGGCAAGTGACTTAATTTCCTCAATATCTTCCGGACTTCACCGTAAACAATAAAGACAAACAAGTGGGGAAAATATGTGTAAATAGAGATTAAGACAAAGCAATTAAGAGAAAGAGGCACAAATCATGAGATTGTGATCACTGAATATATTATAACAACAGTTCACTCAAAATTGTATGGAAAAGTGTTGCATACAGTGGCTACTCTTCAGGATACCTACTTTTGCACTCCACAAAAAATAACAGCATACAGCTTTGGAATGACATGAGAGTGAGTAAATAATGGAATTTCAATTGTTGAGTCAAATTAAGTCAAGATCAGCTCATCAGAAGCTCAGAATCAGTCACCCACCTGTACGCAAAGCCCGATTTGAGAATTGCGAGCTCCCCCTCATAGGGAAACATGTCCTCATATTCCAGCAATATCCCATTAGCACCCAGAGATGACAGTAGAGGGAATATCTGTTAAAGAACACAAAGGGAATCTTTAAAAAGGACACTATTCATACATACACGTTTGAAACACAATCCAGTTTGCATAGATTCCCACCTCTTTTAGGTATGTGACTTTGGGTGCTGCACCTTTCAGATCCAAGTGTACAATCTTTAGTGGATCGGTCTGTGTATTGTCAGAAACGTCTGGCTCAAACTCCTCTTGCTTTGATTGGATCGTGTTTTTTTTCTCTGGCTGAACCACTGGGCCGTCTGTATGTTCTTTTTTGACAGGATCTTCCTGATATTCATCCAAATTCAGCTGCGGGACACGCTGGTCAGCCCAGAACTTACTACTTTGTATGATTTGGTGTGTCTTTCCACTTGTGCCTTTGCTTGAGGTATAAATAGAGGGTAATTAAAATGCAATTACGAGCTTGTTTGGGACAATGAAGCCTTGTTTGAAAGATGCATGGATGCACGTGTGTACATGGAGACTTTTGAGAACTACAATCCTCACCTTGGGCTAAAGATAAATTTCCCCATGGCAACAATCACCAACCCACCGATGATTAACCTCATTAACTTTTGATTGTTCATGTTAGTGTCTCTGCAGGTGGATGGGATAAACCATAAAATTTAAGGCAGGCTTTAAACTCAGGTGACCTTTAAAATACAAAATTTGCATTGGAAATCACAACACATAATGGCAAGCAAAAATGTTTTACCTGTTAGTGTTCATAATATCAATAGAAAAAAAAAAACTCTTCTAAATACGCATTTATTATTAAATATATGTATTTATAGTAACAATCATCATAATCATAAAACACTTTAAAAACACTTTACAAATGCAAATAGTCTGGTTTAAATAAAGAAAATGCATCAATAATCAAAGTAGATCAAAAATACAGCATGCATTTTATTTATTTTCTCACAATTCTGACTTAAAGGACACATTTTTTTCCTTACACAGAGGCTTTATAAATGGATGCATCTTGCTATTACTCTAGAAATATCGAAACGTCTACTTACTTTGTTAAAGATCATCAATTCTTTAGGGAAAAATAAATCCTTTATGCTGCAGGAAAGCAGACATACATTTACTTCCGTAAGTAATTTCTTGTGCTGCAAGTGCATCTGTGCTGTTGAAACCTAGGCAAGTTCAACCTGTTTAACCACGTGACGTTCACACGGCAGTAAATTTGCATTGGCAAATGACAGGTTGGTTGGCAAACTTGTTTATGCACTTGACTAACCGCGAACACCTGAACCAAACTGCGTGACAGTGAAAGTAATTGTGCGCGTCACATCGACACTTTACGACGTCTTTTATTCAGATAGGCGACCGTAATATGTCTTATACATGCGCATATAAATAATACCAGTTGCTACAAAAGATAAATTATGTACAGTATGTTACAGTACAACATACATGACTTACTACTGCTGATACATTTTTTTTTTTTAAAATTGACAATTGACATTACATGTCAAGAACGTAACATCGGAGCCCTGCATGATATACTCCAGTCTCCAGCTAACGTTAAAGCATTATTTAAATATTCTTTTTGAGACAAAACATATCTAAATATATATCTAAAAATATATTTTGCCAGTTATATTTTATATAGGAAGTCCGAATTTGAGAGCACTAGTGAAATTTGTATTTTGCATTGTTTTAATGTATAATACATGCTAATAAATTGCATAATCAGCATAACAATTTAAACAAGTTAAATAGTTTAATCTCAATGCTTTTAGAAAAATAATAAGATGTTTGCCGTATATGAAAATATGTAAAATGCAAAAACTTCGACGTTGAATGAATACACCATAGAATACACTAGTGTGACATCATGTGACAAAACAGTTGACCTGTAGTAGTCATATCAGCTGAAGTCCCGCCCTTATCCTCTTACTGTTTGCTTTGATTGGGCAGAGCCTCTATTAGGTGGTCTACGATTGGAGAGTTTAGAAGTCATTCACAGAGCCCTACCAACCACAGCACAGGCTTACTGGTAGCAGTAAAAAACAATGGCGTCGCATTTCAGCGGTGTGCTTCAGCTCACGGATTTGGATGATTTTATCACTCCGTCTCAGGTTGAATTGTTGTTTCTGTCCGTAACATTAAAAGCAGACACATTTCTGTTTATTTAACGCATTTACATTTAATCAGCTGAATATGTTGGGCAAAAAAAAAAAAAAAAAGATAAATGGATGTAACATTGATTGTATACAGAGAACGATACCGTTTCTAAAAGTGACACATGTTGTATTATGTGTAACGTTAAATAATTATCAAGAACATTTGCTTAGTTCGAGCTCCTAAGGGTGGGCCTACAATATTTGCTCTGTCAGATACAGAAAGTGACTGTCTAAAACCTAATGATCTGCCAACTAACTTAACTTACTGTATATAAAATTAATGTACAGTGGTCCTAAAAAGTTTTTGTACACTTCAGGCACACTTAAATGCGGCATTAGATAAAATATCCAACCAAGTGATTTATTTGTAAGAAAAACAGTGCAAACATAACTTTAAAACAAAACAGATGACAAACACAAGTTTGTTGGGTATTATATTCTATTCAAAATGTATTTTGACAGTTTGTCATGCACTGAAATTTACTTCTACACCGTTTAATTAAAAATAAGTGCGAATAACACTTTGTTTGATATTTTGACATATCATGTATTTGTCATCTAAAACAATAGCAGTCGTACATTTTTAACTATGACCTAAGTGTCCAAAAGTTTAGGGTCAGGAAGATTTTTAAAAATGTTTTGAAAGGAGTCTCTTCTGCTCACCAAGGCTGCATTTAGTTGATCAAAAATACAGTAAAAACATAACAATAATATTGTAAAATATATTATCACAATATAAAATAAATATATTTTAAAATGTAATTTATTTTCCGTGTTGTCATTATCAATGTTGAAAACAGCTTGTGTGCTGCTTAATATTTTGTGTGTAAACCATGATACTTTTTATCAGAATTCTTTGATGAATAGAAAGTTGAAAAGAAAAGAAAAGCATTTATTTGAAACGGAAATCTTTTGTAACATTATAAATATCTTAAAGGTGCTCTAAGCGATGTCGCGCGTTTTTTGGCCAAAACATTTTTTGTCACATACAGCAAACATCTCCTCACTATCCGCTGGCTGCCTGTCCTCTGAACACACTGTAAAGAAACGCGATCTCTGTAGACAGCCCAGGCTCCACAAACAGCAACAAAAACAAACTGCAGCGACCCGCTCCCCGAAACATAACAAACTGTTCCAGCCAATGACCGACAAGAAGGGTTTGGGGGTGTGGTTTGGGGGGTTAGTGTGCGGATGAGGAGGAGGGAGGGTCTAGCTAGCCTCCGTTTTGTTTGACAATAGTTCGAACGTCAACAAGAAGTGATGTCACCCAGGATCGCTTAGAGAACCTTTAACTGACACGTTTGGTCAATTTTATGCACCCTGATAAAAAGTAAATTAATTTCTTAAAACTCTTATTTACCCCAAACATTTAAACGGTAAGGTATATCATTTATATACAGAATATAATTTCACTGCTGTTAATTTTCCCAATTGATCAGGAATGTGTAAAGCCTGTAAAGGTGGAAAAGAAACAGGGCAGATCTGTGGCTAAAATCCAGATAGAAGATGATGGCAGTTATTTTCAGGTCCATCAGGTGAGTACAAATTATGTGACTTTTATTTTGAGCCAGTATTGTGGTGTTTTGTCTTGTTTCATTTGATAGCAAAGTATGTTTTTGATTTGTCACCTTAGATAGATATGTTGAATATTCTTATTTCTCAGGATGGTCAAAAGGAAAAGTTGGAGAAAGCCAAGATTACGTTGAACGACTGTCTCGCTTGCAGTGGCTGCATCACGTCTGCGGAAAGTGTCCTTATCACCCAACAGAGTCATGAGGAACTGTACCGTGTGCTACGTCATAATAAAGTGTGCAGTACTTTACACTCATTAAACTGCATTTAACTTTTTGCTCCACATGAATAGTTCACCTAAAAACATGTTTGTGCCTCGAGCAGCAGGTTAGCAGTAGCGAGCAGAAGGTGGTGGTGGTGTCTGTATCGCCTCAGTCAAGAGCCTCTCTAGCTGCACACTACGGTCTCAAAAGCAGCGAGGTGGCCCACAGACTCACCAGATTCCTGAAAAATGTGGGTGAGTTGGAAGCTGCAATTCATCTGATCAGTCAAAGACATCGTCCTATGGAAGCTTATTTCCGCCACGAAATTAAAAATACATTTAAAAAGGGTAATAGCGACTTTTTTTTTCGAAAAAAGTATAAACTCAGAACGGCGAGACAAAATTCACACTTTATTTTTTTAGTCCATGGTAGGAAAAAAAAGAATTGCAAGTTTAGAATTTCTAAGGAAAAAGACAGAATAATGAGATGTAAACTCAGAATTGGGAGGGAAAATGTCAAAATTACGAGATGTAAACTCGTAATTACAAGAAAAATGTCAGAATTATGAGATGTTGACTCAGATTTACAAGAAAACATTTTAGAATTACGAGATGTAAATTCAGAATTAGGAGGGAAAAAAAGTCAGAATTATGAGATGTAAACTCAGAATTGGGAGGGAAAATGTAAAAATTACGAGATGTAAACTCGTAATTACAAGAAAAGTGTCAGAATTATGATATGTAAACTTAGAATTACAAGAAAAAGTCAGAATTATGAGATGTTGACTCAGATTTACAAGAAAAAATTTCAGAATTACGAGATGTAAATTCAGAATTAGGAGGGAAAAAAGTCAGAATTATGAGATGTAAACTCAGAATTGGGAGGGAAAATGTCAAAATTACGAGATGTAAACTCGTAATTACAAGAAAAATGTCAGAATTATGAGATGTTGACTCAGATTTACAAGAAAAAATTTCAGAATTACGAGATGTAAATTCAGAATTAGGAGGAAAAAAAGTCAGATTTATGAGATGTAAACTCAGAATTGGGAGGGAAAATGTCAAAATTACGAGATGTAAACTTGTAATTACAAGAAAAAGTCCGAATTATGAGATGTTGACTCAGATTTACAAGAAAAAAAAATCAGAATTACGAGATGTAAATTCAGAATTAGGAGGAAAAAAAAGTCAGAATTATGAGATGTAAACTCGTAATTACAAGAAAAATGTCTGAATTATGATATGTAAACTTAGAATTACAAGAAAAAGTCAGAATTATGAGATGTTGACTCAGATTTACAAGAAAAAATTTCAGAATTACGAGATGTAAATTCAGAATTAGGAGGGAAAAAAGTCAGAATTATCAGATGTAAACTCAGAATTGGGAGGGAAAATGTCAAAATTACGAGATGTAAACTCGTAATTACAAGAAAAATGTCAGAATTATGAGATGTTGACTCAGATTTACAAGAAAAAATTTCAGAATTACGAGATGTAAATTCAGAATTAGGAGGAAAAAAAGTCAGATTTATGAGATGTAAACTCAGAATTGGGAGGGAAAATGTCAAAATTACGAGATGTAAACTTGTAATTACAAGAAAAAGTCCGAATTATGAGATGTTGACTCAGATTTACAAGAAAAAAAATTCAGAATTACGAGATGTAAATTCAGAATTAGGAGGAAAAAAAAGTCAGAATTATGAGATGTAAACTCGTAATTACAAGAAAAATGTCAGAATTATGATATGTAAACTTAGAATTACAAGAAAAAGTCAGAATTATGAGATGTTGACTCAGATTTACAAGAAAAATTTTCAGAATTACGAGATGAAAATTTAAAACTCATGAGATGAAGTCAAAACAGTGAGATTTAAACTCAGAATTACGAGAAAAAAGTCAGAATTAGGAGACAAAGTCAAAATTGTGAGATGTAAACTCAGAATTAGGAGTTTATAACTTACAATTGTGAGCTATTGTGAGAAGAAAAGTCCAAATTGTAAAAAAAGAAAGAAAAAAAGTCTGAATTGTGACAAATTGCTAAATGGGTTTCCATATGCTCCTCTGTGTATTGAGATCATGTAAGTGCCATACTGATCTTTCAGGTGTCCATCATGTGTTTGAGACCGGCTTCAGTCGCTCTTTCAGCCTGTTAGAAAGCCAGAAGGAGTTTCTGGAGCGATTCAATCGGAAGGAAGTGGACAAGAAGGCCCTACCGATGCTGGCGTCTGCCTGTCCAGGTAGTCTTTTCTCAATCTGTATTTTTATTTTCTCAAATATTCATGGTAGTGTGCTTTATTATGGGTCCAACATGGATTTGTTCTCTGTATTTCATCCAGGTTGGATTTGCTATGCTGAGAAGACTCATGGTGAATTCATCCTCCCGTACATCAGCACAACGCGCTCGCCCCAGCAGATCATGGGTTCTCTAGTCAAGGGCTATTTTGCCTCTCAGGAGGTACAAAACAATGAATTTCTGTTCAAACTGCCCACAATGCTTTGTGCCAAATACAAAGTCCCACATTAAAAACCTGTATTGTTTCATTGTAGTTTAACTATATTGTAAATTTTCTTTTCTTATGTAAAAAGAAATCTTATTGGTCTCTGCTAAGCTGCAGAGTAAAGTCTTTTGTTTTGCAGCTTTCACAAGAGTCTAATCTATGGAACACACACAACTATTGAACACATACCTTTATTTACATTGGGTATTAACATAAGTAAACATAGTAAATAAAATGACAGGCAGCCTTTAAATATTTCTCAGTTAAGTTAACAGTGAGTCATATGTCTCACCTATTTTAATTTACATGATAAATTAAGGTCATTTTATTCTCCATCATTTGCTATGATAGGGTATTTCACCACAGAAGATCTACCATGTGACTGTGATGCCCTGCTATGATAAGAAACTAGAGGCTTCCAGACCAGACTTTTACCTTGGCGAGTATGAGACCAGAGAGGTGGACTGTGTTATTACTTCAGGTGAGTGAATCTAACATCATTAAAAGATGAACGGGTGTACAACAGCAAGGCTCAGTCCCTCATCTTGTATGCGTTTGGTTCACAGGAGAAGTTCTGAAGATGTTGGAGGAGGAGAAAGTGTCCTTGAGAGATGTGGAGTTGGCCCCTTTAGACGCAATGTGAGTTCTTCATGTTTGCCAAACCAATAGTATTAATGCATAATAGAAATTGTGTCATACATGAATGTGTGTTTTTAGGTTCAGTAACGTCTGTGGGGAGGAGCTGCTGCGTCACGCAGGAAGTGGATCTGGAGGATACCTTCATCACATCTACAAACATGCTGCAAAACAGCTGTTTGGGGTTGAAGTAGATGAACTCACATACAAGACAGTGAAGTACGTCTGAACACAGCAATACTGTTACAAAGATCCCAGAACTGTACACTTATATGTTATATGTACACTACCCGTTCAAAAGGTTGGGGGTCAGTCTTTGTTTATTGTTGTTACAGAAATTAATACTTTTATTAATCAAGGATGCATTTAATTTAATTAATCAAGGATGCATTAAATTTGATCAAAAGTGTTACAAAAGATTTCAAATTTAAATAAATGTTGTCCTTTTAAACTATAAATCTCTTTATATAAATCTCTCATAATCAGTTTCCACTAAAGTATTAAGCAGCAAAAACTGTTGTTTTTTTAAAACATTGAATATTAAGAAATGTTTCTTGATCAAATCATCATATTAGAATGATTTCTGAAGGATCATGTGACACTGAAGACTGGAGTAATGATGCTGAAAATTCAGCTTTGATCACAGGAATAAATTACATTTTAAAACATATTCAAATAGAAAACAGTTCTTTCAAATTTTAATAATATTTCACAATATTACTAATTTTTTATTATTATTATTTTTTATTTAAATCAAATACAGCAGAAGATACTTCTTTCAAAAACATTAAAACATTTTACCAACCCAAACTTTTGAATGGTAGTGTCTACACTTTATTAATATTTTAAGAAATAGTACCTAAATAATGAATATTCGTTTTAAGGTTGAGATAGTTTGGAATTAATAAATGTTAGAAAATTTTACCATGGTTCCATCAGGGTTTCCGCAGACCAGGAAAACCTAGAAATATGAGAGAATTTTTAAAAGTGTGATTTTTCAGGTCTGGAAAAGTCCAAATGATTTACAATAATAGCCTTAGATCATGGTAATATCATATCATTTTCTATAGCCAGTAGTTACAGCCAGTTCTTTTAAAAGTTCTATTTTGACTAGAAATTACTAGAGAGAAATCACCCAGTAATTTCTAATTGACTAATTTAATCTAATTTCTGTATAAAATGATTTAAAAAAAATAACTATTTAAAACATTTTTATAACTGGAAATTGGTCAGAAATTGTAGTTACCATTTGCATGGTATTATTTGAAGTGCACTGGAGCAGTGTAAATACCTTGGTATATGAATATGATAATAATATGATAATCATTCAGTTCCATAGTATGTATTAAAGCTCCTTAGTGAGCAACATGATACCCCTGATACCTTTACCATGGTACTACCACAGTACTGTTTTGTTAAGGAATAATATGCTTGTCGCATTTGATTTTTTAAAAAAAAGACTGTTCTTAAGTGTTTGTTCTTCAAATAAAACTTCCAAAAGTTGTGTATCGTGGTAGTGCCTCAGTACTTATTTCGTAAGGTACATTTTATTTGTCTCTCTTTTTGTTCAAACAGAAACAAGGACTTCCAGGAAGTCACTCTGGAGAAGGATGGTCAAGTTCTGCTGCGTTTTGCTGCCGTCTACGGCTTCAGGAACATTCAGAACCTGGTGCAGAAGCTGAAAAGAGGGAAGTCAACGTACCACTTTGTAGAAGTGATGGCATGTCCGTCAGGTAGGAAATTACACCACTAGTCCTGTTCTCTTGAATAATATCTGTTCTAAACTTGCATAACCCCTATTAGGCCCCTATCATACACCAGGCGCGACGCAAGTGTTTTTTGCTAGTTTCAGCCTGACGCAGTTATCATTTTCACGTCCTGCTCCACGTTGTTTAAATAGCAAATGCATTTGTGCGCCCATGGGCGTGCTGGTCTGAAAACGAGGTGTGTTCAGGCGCATTGTTGGCGCGTTGCTATTTTGAGGCGACTGAAATAGACTGCGCCAATATTTTTTTTGTTACTCACACAGGGATGCGCAGCAGCACACAAAACATGCCAAATATTACAAATAAAAGGATTACAATATAAAAAATTATTATTGTGTACATAAAGATATGGTGGAATCCGGCTTGTCCCGTAGATGGTCTGCTCACACGCTTTAACCTCGCGCACGAGCAGATCCGTTTGCGCTCTGGAGACGCGTTCAGTTTTTCCGGTTGGAAATTCCGCCATGTAAATAGCGAATCCGCCATGGCGCAAGCGCAACTGGCTTTTAAAGGGAATGGGAGGTGAGAATCTGATTGTTTTTTTTGCACGTTACGCCCAAAACACACCCATTACTTATTAAGAGAATAGGGACAACCCTTTTAGACCATGCGCTTAGATCCCGTCGTTAAACTAGTAAAAGTGGATTCGGACACCCTTTATGCTGAGTTCAGACTGCACGATTTTAGCCCCGATTTTGGCTCGCCGACAGGTTTTGAGAAATCGCTGACAAATGCCCGAAATCACAGGCAAATCGGTGCTCGTTCACGCGAGTGACAATCACGCAGTGTGAATGAGCAAAGACGCGATCTGAGAGAATCGCCGACGAGTCGCCGACGCCCGTGAGATATTTGGCATGCTAAATATCTGGACCTGTCGGCGATTCACAATCCTGCTGTGTGAATGTGTTCTGACTGAAAACTACATCGGCGATGACCGACAGCCAATGAGAGAGCAAGATATGTTACCCCAGATAGTCATGCAGTGTGAAAACAACAGTGACCCAATTATTTTGAAAATCTCGGCATTAGTTTAGACCATGCGCTTAGATCGTTAAAATAGGGCTCTTAATGTTAGTCAGTGTTGTTTAGTAGGGTTTTAAAATAAGGTCTGATTCACAAACGCGTTTAATTGAACTCTACAGGATGTCTTAACGGCGGCGGTCAGCTCAAACCTTCATCAGATCAGTCCAACAAAGAGTTGCTGCAGCAGGTGGAGGAGCTTTACCACAGTGAACGTACCGCAGTGCCAGAGGAGGACTCGCGAGTGGCTGAACTCTATCAGCGCTGGGTGGAGAGCGTGGGAGACGAGAAAGCCCGACAGTTACTGCACACGCAGTACCACGCCGTAGAAAAAAACAACAGTGGCCTCAGTATAAAGTGGTGAGGAGCTGCCCTGACGCTGATCAACCAACTACATTGTTAGCGTTTTTCCTTTCTGTGTGCGCTAAGGCAATATTTAACATACATCAGACACTACACCAGCTATGTCATTACAGTTGAATGGACAGATGAAGTAATATTTCCTGCAAATATGCGCCTATTAGATATCTGCTGAAGAACGCTGAGTTCAGACTACATATCAAACCGGACTTTATGTATTTACTTGTCCATGAATGTTGCCTTGTTATATTTTATCTCATTTATCCTTGAGTTTGTGTAAAAGTGTTGAATGCTTCTGTAAATTCATTGTTACAATGTAGTATGCACTGAAAACAGTTCTGTCTTGTTTTTGAGAATACATTTTGATTCATGATGACAATAAAAATAACGTTTCCATGTATATAATAATTCCATGAATGTAATTATATTTATTGAGGAAATAAACTATACATATATTTTACTCAATACATTTTTTGTGCGCATTTGTGATTGTTTTTTTTTTCTGGCATTTTGATTCAGGGCATTTTAAATTATCCTTTTTTTCTTCTTCCAAAAAGCAACAACAAAAACATTTGTATTAAAATTGGTCCTGCACAGTACATTATTTTCATTTGTGTAACATTGTATTTAAAACGGGATTATAAACCTTGATTTTATACCATGATAAAGTTGATCCAGGACTGTTTGCAGACTTCTGGTGTTATAATATTGCAACATAATTAGTATTTTACAATTAGTCCTTATTATTGTTTCACACAAAGCAGGGTAATAAAACACTGCATCATTAAGAAAATCTGTGCCACTGCATTTCTAGAAAAACAAACAGCTGTAAACATTTATATTAAAACTTTATTCAGTTTGTATGATCATAATTAAATCTTCTCTGTTACTTCTGATGACTAGTGCAAGATTGGCTGAAACAAGACGAAAAGCTAAAACAAGTATGCAGTGTTCAATATTTTCTACATTCAAAATCATTCAGAAACATGAAAATAAATGCAGTTCAATCAAATGCAATTTTCTTATGGACATTAAAACACACCAAATTAAATTTAGCTGGAACACCTCGCTTTGTCAACATCTTAAAAATAATTATTTTGGATTTACAAAACAACATTGCACATTAAGACATTCTGAAATAAAACTATAATTTAACCACACAACATTGGTTCAGACATGGCCTGGATCCTTTCCAAAAATAAAACTTGCACAAATAAAATTTGGCCTACAGCACAGACCTAGTACATTTGTATTTTTTTTAAATGCAAATTGACGGCATTAATGTATTTTTTTAACGATGAAAACATCTGTTTTTGTTTGATCTATTGCTTGTAACAATGATTTAAATGCATTGTTTTGCAGGTTAACAATCCTGTGTATTGCTCATTGAAGATGATACGCAGCCCAAAAATTGTGCTTTTGATATAAATGAAGCATGTGTAAAAAGCAACAGAGTTTATGCATGTGCCTCATGTCCTGCTATTGTTAGTGAAACGATGAGCGTAGTAGTGATGACCATCACAAAGACAAGCCCAAAAACTCAATTCTTCGGGACTCTAAAGCTGTCCTTCTCCTTACGGATACTTCTCATGGCTTCAATCGGGTCACTGGTCCCAGCATGCTCCTGTACCGACTTCTCTCTGAAGTGCAAACACAAAGACGTGAGGGGGAAAAAAAAATCTTAGTAACATTTTACAATGTCTCATTTGTTAACAAGTTAATGCTATATATTTTTTACAGCATTTATTAACCTTTGTTAATATTAGCTAAAAAAAAAAATGTCCATCTTCATTTTAGTTCGCAGTGCATAAACGAATGTTAACAGACACAACTCATCTTAAATGTATTAGTAAATATTGAGATTATCATTAACAAAGACTAATAAATGCTGTAGAATTCATTGTTAGTTCATGTTAACTAATGTAGTTTACTAATGAAAACTTATTTAATACTAAATTAAATTTTAAATAATAAATGTCTTTAAGCATTTTAACAGATTTTAAAATAATACTTTTTAGAATTTATTTTTTATAATAAAAAATACTTTTCTATTTTTTTTTTGTCTCTTAATGTTTTTCAATAAGTTCAAACCAATGCTTAAATTTTATCAGCAATATACCAAGTTTACTCGTATGTCCAGATAATGTGAAATGCACAAACAAGTGAAGTTCAAGATGGTTAAGCAAGTTAATTATATATTTTGCTGTAGATATAAATAACTGTATATTTGGGAATGATTTCACATACCTCACTCTCATGAAGGGGTTAAATGTGAACTCATCAGCCACCGTAGAAGGAATGGTCGGCTCTCCGTTATCGTATTTTTCCTAATCAATGTAAGACAAGGTTATTCAAACACTTGCACTATGATAGTATTTGCAGCTGAAGTAAATGAATGTTAAAGAAGAGTTAAACACCTTAGCCCATGCCAACTTTGTCCGGATAGCCTCATTTTTTGGCTCGACATGCCGCGCAAATTTCAGATTATTGATGGTGTACTCGTGCCCACAGTACACACGCTGAAACCGGAGGAAATTGTGAGTGAACATGCGACTTTTTATTACTTAAAAGTTTTTTTTTATTTTTTACAGTAAGAGTTTAACAGCATTTATTGCTTTAAAATGAAATGTTAAGTGATATTTTATAGCACAAAGACAGAGATTTGAGTTTAGAGTTTAGGGGAATTGTTACCGTCTCTGGAGGAAGACGGCCTAAAACCTCGATCAGGGCTTTGTACATCTCATCAGCGGTACCCTCAAAAAACTTCCCGCAGCCGGCCACGAACAGGGTATCTCCTATTCAGAATGTGAACGTAACAAGACAAAAAACTCCTTGTCAATACAGTTCTACAAAGTGTGCATATGTCAGACTGTCAGAATAGTTTTAGTAGTCTCTGCTCAAAAATGTGGAACTTAATTTTTTTTTTTTTTTTTTTTAATTGAGCAAATTAAATCAGTAAAGTTGTTAAATCACTACACACTACCGTTCAAAGGTTTGAGTTCAGTATGATTTTTTTTTAAAGGGGTGGTTGATTATGATTTCAGTTTTCTAATTTTAGTTAGTGTGTAATGTTGCTGTTTGAGCATAAACAACATCTGCAAAATTACAACGCTCAGAGTTCAAAGCAAAGGGAGATATTTGCTTTTAAAGAAATAGCTTTTTAAGGACTACAACAAACGGCTGGTAGGGACTACAGGACATTCCTCCCGGGTTAGTGACATCACTAACCCTAAAATTTACATAAACCCTGCCCCCAGGAACACGCAAGCAGTGTTGAGATTGAGAAGAGGAAGAGTTGTTGTAGTAAAGCACATTTGTGAGTCTGCTCAAGCTGTAGAATCCGTCTTTTCACATGCAATACAGTGCGTGACACAAATGCAATATCATGTCACTCTGTAGGCATCTTACAACAGTTCCCACACAAGCGATTTTATAGATTATCATGGCAGAATATGCTAATCAATGACTAGAAGATAGTTAACTCCACATCAGCAACATAAATTCATCAACTAACCATTCAGAAACGTCCTGTTGCATTCTACATGTTGTCACTTCTTCTTGAGTCTCTCCATTATTGTCCGACTCCGGTTTAAACATAAAAGGCAGAAGAGTTTCTGACATTTTTAGCGTGTGTCTGCGTGAGGTAATCGGAGCTGGTAACACACAGTAGCCATGTTTCCATCCACTTGTCAATCGAATTATCTGAAGTTCGGTAAAAAACCTCATGCGAATAAAGCTGTTGAAAGTGTGTTTCCATCAAACGGCTTTAAAGTGGATAAAAACCTGTGCGTAATGACGTCACATGCAGTTTTGCGATCAAATTGGTATATCGAATTGATTTGAGACATGTTAAGGTGTTTCCATTCATTTTCTCACCGAATTACACAACATTCAAGCCAACATTTGCGAACAAAGTTTTACTAGGCAAAATGGATCGCACCATAATAACGTTTCCATCCGCGTTTATCGCATAAGCCGTATAACGATCAAGATAAAATCCGATGAGACCGATCGTATTTCATTTGAGTCGATATTCAATCGAATTTTACTGTTTCCATAAGACATTTTTCATTCGATATCACTTAATGCGGATAAAAACGTGTGGATGGAAACATAGCTACACAGACAAGCTCTTGAAGCTCCGCCCTCTGTGCCGGGAGAAGCAGCTCATTTGCATTTAAAGGGACACACACGAAACAACACGTTTTTGCTCACCCTCAAAAAGGGATGTAAAAAATTATGCTGTAAAAAATTATCTGTGGGGTATTTTGAGCTAAAATCTCACATACACACTCTGGGGACATCAGAGACTTATTTTACATCTTGTGAAAAGGGCCATTATACCACCCCTTTATTTTTTTTAAAGAAATTAATATTTTTATCCATCATGAATACATTGATTTGATAAAAAGTGACAGTAAAAGACATTTTTAATGTTACAAAAGTATAAATGCTGATCTTTTGCACTTTCTATTCATCAAAGAACAACATTCTTTGGACGTCAATCAATCAGAAATGTTTTTTTTTTATCAACAAATCATCATATTAGAATGATTTCTGGAGGATCATGTGACACTGAAGACTGGAGTTATGATGCTGAAAATTCAGCTTTGATCACAGGAATAAATTACACTTTAAAACATATTAAAGTAGAAAACAATTATTTTAGATTGTAATAATATTTCACAATATTACTGTTTTTACTGTATTTTTGATCAAGTAAATGCTTTCTTTCAAAAACATTTTTTTTCTTTTTAAATCGTACTGAACCCAAACTTTTGAACGGTAGTGTATGAAAATGTGTCTTACCCGTAAACACAGCCGGTGGTTCGGTGCTGTTTTCTTTTGTTACAAAATAGCAGATGTGGCCGGTGGTGTGACACGGCGTAAACAAACACTTTACATTCAGAGAGCCCACCTGGAACGATCAAACAATCTGAAATGTGTCCAGCGGTATGAAGTGCATGCTTCTGATTGGCTAAGCTGCATTCAAAGCCAATTCGTGCCATTCGAAAGTTTGGGGTCAATAAGATTTATAAATATTTTGAAAGAAGTCTCTTCTGCTCACTAAGGCTGCATTTACTTAAATCAAAAATACAGTAAAAACATTAATATTTTGAAATATAATTACAATTTAAAATAACTGTTTTCTTGAAGATGTAATTTATTCTTATGATGGTAAAGCTGATTTTTCAGCATCATTACTCCAGTCTTTAGTGTCACATGATCCTTCAGTAATCATTCTAATATGATGATTTGATGCTCAAGAAACATTTATTACCATTATCAATGTTGAAAACAGTTGTGCTGACTAATATTTTTGTTAAAACCTTTTTTACAGGATTCTTTGATATCTTTAATGTCACTTTTGATCAAATTATCACATAAAACTATTCAATTTTGTATAAAAAAAAAAAAATCTTACTGACCCGAAACGTTCGAACAGTAGTATATATTATATAAACCAGTCTTACTTTGAAAGTGTTGGAGTGTGTGACTTTCTGAGTTAAAGCTCCCACTCTGTCATCTCCTCCGTACACTGTCAGTCCCGGCATGAGCTTCACCAGCTTCTCATTTCCTCCAGCGTGATCCCTGGAAGTTATGAAGCATCACCTCTAATTCCCCAATCAAACTGTCATATTAGTGTGCATGGGCTTTATTACAGGTCTGACTTACCAGTGATGATGAGTGGTCAGGACAGTTTTGAGCTTCACGCCATGCTTTTTGACCGCATCTACAACCTGAGACAGATGACAATATTATGAATCCATGCGATGCACAATGTGTAATATCCACAATGAGATATTCTTACTTTCTGGGGCTCTACTGGATCGACTATGGCTGCCTCCTTGGTGTCTTCATCGATGAGGAGGTACATGTAGTTGTCGGTGAGAGCAGGAAGCAGTTCGACCTTCATATCTGACTGTTCCACCAGAGATGATTTCCTTAGAGCGGAGTGAAACCAGGCTGTAGGAACTTCAAAACAGAGATTCGGGATCAGGAAATGTTCTCGCTTGAATAACATACATAGATATCAACCATGGTAAACCATGCTCATAAGTTCCTGGTAGTCGACCTTGTCTAAGTTTCTGCGGAACTGGTTAGGCTCATTATTCATGTTACAGAAGTGCTTCACCAGCTTGACTACTTTAAACTGGTTCGACCTGCTTTTTCCAATGTTAAAATGCAATTAATCCAAATGAAAATTATTTTTTTCTTAAATGAATAAAAATGATTTTGAAACATCTCATTCAGTTTGAAGGAGTTCCTACATTCTTATATTATGATTATACAGTTATTATGATAACAATTACTACAGCAACTGTAGCATTTTGGTGGAAACTACAGTTAGTCGTATTGGTAGTAATATTGTGAAACATGATTGCAATTTTAAATTCTATTTGAATATCCGTTCAAATGTAATTCATTCCTCTGATGGTAAAGCTGAATTTTCAGCATCATTACTCCAGTCTTCAGTGTCACATGATCCTTCAGAAATTAATCTAATATGCCGATTTGATGATCAAGAAACATTTATTATTATTATCATCATTCAGGGCTCTTCGATTAATAGAAAGTTCAAAAGAACAGCATTGATTTAAAACAGAAATGAACTTTATTTACTGTCATTTTTGATCAATTTAATGCATCCAAGCTGAATAAAACTTGTAATTTCTTTTAAAATATATATGTTTGAGACCTTACCATTATAAAAATGTAGGGTTCAAATCAACACTTGGTGTTCATCTATAATTTATGGAAAATGCGTATATATATTGTGATAAAACGGTTTAATTTTTTGATGCTGGTTTAGTCATTTTCTCCCTATTGCATCTAATGCAATACTGTAAAATATAATGCACGGCGTATTATATTATTGCAATACAGCTCTGTTAACACCAAAGTGCGAATTAAGAAATATTTGATAAGTATTTTTACAACTTTCAATTGCACAACGCAGAACAAACATAAAGCACGAAGTGTTTACACTTACGTCACTCCACACGCAAGACATGGAAAGTGTTGCATTTTGCCTTTTACATGAACACTAATCAAGAATGCGTTATCTATTCATGCCACATGTCATGCTCGATGACATACGTCAACAGCCAAGATGATGTAACTCCCCACTTAGGGAACAATTCTTTCACTAGATCAAAACACTGACTGCCATTACACCAACGGTTCTGTGACAGCACTGACATATGGATGCATATGCATATCGATAAATAAGGCATTCTTTCTGATCATGCGCGAGGAAAGATCCTCGTAAACATACCGAGTTTATGCGCGACAGCAGCTCCGAGAGCACCGAGAGTGCATGCACTCGCCGCCAGTGTCCTGAACCGCATATCAGGACTTCAGCTGTCTGATATTACAGCCAGCACAGGGAGGAGGAAGTAGAAGCTCTGGTTTAAAGTGCAAAACAGCCCACTTTTTAACTTTGACCCCTCGTTTAACCAATCCAATACGAGGGAGTGTCGCGCGTTCAGTAATCCACGCTGTTTTGGGGTTATTTACGAATCCTACTACAGTGAAGGCTCATTGGCCATTTATTCAGAACTCATGTCACATGACCTAATATTTAATGTATATCCAATAAGAGCCATAACAATACAATAAAATACAATACACCGTACAGTAAGCCTCTATATAAAATGATAAAACAATTAGAAAATAAAAACATTTAAATTAGAACAAAAGACATTCGTATATTTTATTTACAAATATTATGAAACATCAAATAGTGACATTTTTAATGCAATTAATTAAACCATATATGAATAATATCCATAAGTATAAATCCATAAATCCAATCCATATCCATTTTGTTGATAAAAACAAAAGAAATGAAAAAAAAAACGTTTATGCAAGCAATAGAAAACAATAGCAAACAATACAAAAACAGCTAAAGACTTGGGAATAAAATTTTACTCTGCAAATAAAAAATGAAATAAATTAATTAAATTAAATTGTATCTTTTACTCGAGATAAAATTGAGCTTTTGTCATTGGATGGCCAAACTAGGACCGTCAACAAAACTTCATTAATATTCAATAACGCAGCTTTCGCCATTGGACAGATCTCAAGGACTCTTGTGAGACATAATTAATATTCATAAGGTAAGCCTTTGCCGTAGTAGGACTATTGATATCGCTTTTCGGGCTTCGTGATTGTGATGGATTTCTTCAAGTCAAATAATGTTTCCTGGACTTAATTCCTGACAATGGTATCAGTTTTTTGTTTGTTTTATTCGCACTAGATTTACATATTTCGTAATGTAGCCTACTACTAACTCGTCTCATCGCCCTCCGTTATCAAGCGACCAAAGGTCATTTTATTTCCGGCTGCAGGACTCGCTGGTGTTGGACTACAAAATGAGCACGAGGAATATTGTTCGCTTTTGGGAATGGGGAAAGAAAATAATATGCGTCGGGAGAAACTATGCAGATCACGCCATCGAACTCAAAAATGCAATTCCCAGCGAGCCTGTGCTCTTCCTGAAGCCCCCGTCTGCTTACATTAGGGAAGGGTCTCCTATTCTGGTCCCCTTCTACACCCGCAATCTCCACCATGAAGTTGAGCTCGGGGTGGTCATTGGTAAAGGAGGAACTGCTATTCCTCAGTCTTCAGCCATGGACCATGTGGCTGGATATGTGTTATGCCTGGACATGACAGCTCGAGACATTCAGGACGAATGCAAGTCCAAAGGTCTTCCATGGACCCTGGCCAAAGCTTTCAACACCTCATGCCCCATTAGTGACTTCATCCCCAAGGAGAAGATCCCAGACCCTGGGAGCATCAATCTGTGGTTGAAGGTGAACGATATCCTGAAACAGAGTGGAAGCACATCCCAGATGATCTTTTCCATCCCATTTCTCATAAACTACATCAGTGAGATCATCTCTTTGGAAGTAGGCGATCTCATTCTCACTGGGACCCCTAAAGGAGTGTCAAGCGTCCAGGAACATGATGAACTTCAAGCTGGGATTGATGGCATTGTGACTATGACATTTAAAGTTGATAGAAAAAGTTGATTTGATCATCAATAATTAACATTCTTGAGTCTCAAATTGCTGCAAAGCACAAGCATTTTGATTTGTTTTAAATGCGAATACAATGTCCGACAAGGACAAATTCACTGAATGGGAAACATTGTATAATGTTTAATCTTTTCTAAATAAAAAAGATCTGACTTCATTATATTTTGTGGTCATCTCATGCTTTTCTCATTCTGCAAAATTACCTGTGGCTGATTTGCTTTCTCACTTTCAAGACCCCTGGCCGTTGAAGTTATGACGTGCACTATTTAACAGGACAAAATGTACTTTAATCAGAGCAGCTTTGTTTTTCAAATTGACTAATTATTGTATACGGTATATCAGTTACATGAATAAACTTGAAAAACAGCAGCTCAACCACACATGTAGGAAAATCTATTCTCAAATGTCACCTTTCAGACTGTAAATGTGTCTTTATAGGTTCAAAGTGTCAAGCTCTATATTCATTCCCATAAACAATTTATTTACCAATCCTGTTTTTTTTTTTAAGAAGATGTGTAAGGGGTATTTTAAACTTTAAGCATCTCCTGGGCTTTTCATCAATATGTAACAACAGAAAAATGCAGCAGTTTAACAATCAAACAAGTTTAATGATTGAAATCTTTGTAGTGAGCACACAAGCAGTGATATACAGAAACAGCAGAAAGTTTCCAAAAGGTGATCTTTTGGCATTGTTCTAAACATGTAAATACATAAATTATTTCAAGTGGTAAATGTTTTAAAGATGATCTCCACATGACCAAGTGAGGTTAAACTATTGACCTTTAACAGGCAAACTAAGATATAATGTGCACTAGCATTCAAAAGTCAGTATACGTTTAATGTATTATGAAAAAAAAAAAATAGAACTTACTTTTAAATAAAGAAGTGCTTTTATTCAGCAAAGATGCATTTATTCCAATTTCAAATAACTGCTGTTCTGAAGATTATGTGACGCTGAAGACTGGAAAATTCAGCTTTACCATCAGAGTAATAATTACATTTTAACATATAGAAAACAGTTCTTTTAAATTATAATGATCAAATAAATACAGCATTGGTGAGCAAATGAGACTTTTATTAAAAACATTTTAAAAATCTTAATGACCCCAAACTTTTGAACGGTAGTGTATATGGTGCATAGTATAAAAGATTTGATCTGGCATAGTTGTGCGTATTGATTGGTAGTAGCAGTTATTGGGAGAAAGCTTCTTCGTGTTTCCCATGAGGCTGTTTTACACATCATCACTCTGAACGCTCCTCTGTGGGCTTTTCATCAGAGTGTTTCATTCACCATCCACACGGTAAACACATCCAAGCTTCTCCATATGCTCTTACTGAAACATCCTCACATGCTTATCCAGCCATCTGGCTCTACTGCTGCTCATTCTTGACTGTGGAAGAAACAACTGTATTAAAAGACATACTGTACATAGACAGAAGCAGTTATCAATAGCTTACGTGAAGAAATACAGCATAGTATGTAATGAGATCATTTTAACCATTAGTTTACAAACCACATTCACACATTACAAATTCTATCACAGTGGTGCATTAGATATTTTATTTAAAAATTACTATAATAAAATACATCTAAATACAGTAGTCAACATTTGAAGTGGATCAAAACCTTTCATTAAAGGTATACATGAATTTTGAGTGAACTTCGATGAACTTTTTTGATCCACTTCAAATGTTGACCACTGTATAATAATAAAGCCTACTTGTATTGTTTGTTGTAAAAGTGTATACCTTTAGGAATGAACTTCAGAGAGCTGCTGAATATTCAGAAGCGTGAGAGGCCGCGCTTGGGTCCGTCATTCACAAACTCATGGCCAAGACCATTTCCACACTTACCACATTTAACCTGTAAAAGATGTTACATAATCCATTGTTCACATTCTCCAGATAAGAGATTAAAGGCCTGTTCACACCAAGGAGGAGATCTATAAAGATAACTATATATTAGCATCCACACTAATGCACAATATCATTCTTTTTATTATAAGAGCGCTCTGCTGTTTTGTCGTCTACCCCTTTAAATGCTCGAGCTCTTTAAAGCAGGATGGATTCTGATTGGCTGTCAATGTTTTTATTGTTCATCAGCTAGAAAAAAAAATTGTTCTGAAAGGGATTTCAATTATATTGTTTCTCGGTGTCATTCTCATTACAGTTGTGTTTGGTTGTGTGCTATTCTTTTATATTTAGAACGATTTTTAGAACTTCATCTTTATCATTATCTTTATAGTTATCATTCTTGGTGTGAGAACGGACCTTAAAGGGAAAGTTCACCCAAAAATGAAAATGCTATCATCAATTAGTCACGCTCAAGTACGGTGGAGCTTCTTGTTTACCATATTTGTGTGCTCTATCTATGTCCACTGATCAATGTTTATATGTGAATAAAAGCCTAAATTAAATCTGTTCATTATAAAGCAATTGTGTCTCGTAAGAACTCTTGAGAAGAGTTTTGGGTGAATAGTCTTTAAATGGAAGGGCAGAAATACCTCAGATTAGATTTGATTAAAATATCTCTTTTGTGTTTCGAAGACGAACAAAAGTCTTACAGGTTAGGAACGACATGTAACAATTTTCATTTTTGGGTGAAATATCCCTTTAACAACTTTATGCTGCCTTCACATGCTATCAGAAAGTTCCTACTTCCCACTTCTGATGTCGCGATTACGAGCCCGTCGCATTCAAGTGATTTGTTGTCGTAAAGAACAGGAATCTTGTAGGACGGCAGGTTTATTCTTGCCTATTTATTGGGAAATTCTTATTAAAGCCAAAAGGATATTTAGCGTCCCATTCATTGACAACCATGTAAACACTCACCGTGCTCATCTATAGTCATCTTGCTGACGATTCTGGAATTTCAGTCAAATACAGCCTATTTGAGCTTTGTATGAAACATACAATATGCTTCAAATGATTACTCATATATGTAAATATGCACTACTTTAACAACTGGGCTTAAGTTTATGGCTCACCCAACTCGGGAACTTGGGTATCAAAATTATTCCCAGTAGTAAATACAACTTAAGAGGGTGTTCATGTCCAATTTTTAACTAGGAAACTCGTATTTACAATAATTCCCATAGCACGTGAAGGCAGCATTAAATGCTCAATGGAATCGTGATGCACTGCAGGAGTTCATCTACAGACTGGAAACCACTTTAACTTTTACCTTGTAAGCGCCCCATCTCTCCTCATGTTTAGACAAACTGTTTTCATGGATGGTTTCTGTGAAGGCTGGCCAGGGTGATGAATGCTCAAATTTGGATCTGCTGGAGAACAGCTCATGTCCACATTCAGCACAAACATACATGCCTGCAGGAGAAACACACACGCAAGTGGTTTGAATAAGTCTCAGATGATCTTATTTTATACAGTAACTAACTTGCCAATATTCACTAATACTATTCGAAAATATTGTCTTGTAGTAAAAAATATATATATACTGATGAGCCAAAACATTATGACCAGTCACGGGTGAAGTGAATATCATTGATCATCTCCTAACAAGGACACATATTAAGATCTGGGTATTAAGATAGTAAGCAAACAATCAGTTCTTGTAATCAACGTATTGGATGCAGGAGAAATGGGCAGGAATAAAGATCTGAGCGACTTTAGCAAGGGCCAAATTGTGCCCGAGGGGGGACAAACCACAAACCAGAGACAGGGTGTTGGGCAACCAAGACTCATCAGTGCACGAGGGCGATGAACGCTGTCCTGTCTGGTTTGAGCCAACAGAAGGTCTAATGTGGCGGACAACATTTTAATGATGGTCATGGGAGGAATGTGTCACAACACACAGTAGATCACACTCTGCTGCGTATGGGACTGTGTAAACACTGACCAATCAGAGAGATGATGACCCCTGTCCACTGGTGAAAGTGCCTACAATGGGCAAGTGTTTTACACAAGTGTCTGAACTGGACCTTAAAGCAGTGGAAGAAGTTCACCTGGTCCGATGAGTCCTCCTGTTTTCTTTTACACCACGTGGACGGTCTCAATAAATCCAGTTTAGTCTGATGTGTGTGCATTGTAGCAGACCAGGTACACCCCATGATGATAAGCGTGTTCCCTGGTGGAAGTGGCTCTTTCAGCAGGATAAAGCACAATGCCACACTGCACACATTGTTCAGGAATGGTTTGAGGAACATGATAAAGGTTCAAGGTGTTGCCCCGGCCTCCAAATTCCCCAGATCCCAGTCCAATTGAGCATCTGTAAGATGTGCTGGACCAACAAGTTCGATCCACAGTGACTCAACCTCGCAATCTACAGGACTTAAAGGATCTGGTGCTAAAGTCTTGGTGCCAGAAACCACAGCATCCCTTTAGGGCTCTTGTAGAGTCCACCTCGGCTGGGTCGGCGCTGTTTTGGCAGCCCACAGTGGACCAACAGCATATAAGGCAGGTGTTCATAATGTTTTAGCTTATCAGTGTATTGCTCACTGCTAGTTCATGTTAGTTACATTAATTAATGTAAAAAAAAATTAGACTTTAATGTAAAGTGTTCCCGGTTAAATTGATCACTGAAGAAAAGCAACTCCCATTAACATGATTAGCCTTCAATGTTACATTTTTATTGATGCTTGGCGATATTAAATGTCAAATAAACATGTCGAAAATAGTCGAGAACCAAGCACACAAGCACCATGTGTGATAACAAGACATTCCCATAGTTTTGCTAATCACATAACACAAGTTACATACATGCTCTTACATAAGTAGCCTTGTTTACACATCAGCTACATCGGGGTCAACTTACCAGTCTCAAAATGATCTTTATAAATCTCCCCTCCGGAGAACGAACAGAAAGACATGACTACGCAAACTGTTGTGAAGTTAAAACGAAGGACTGTAACTTTGTGTATCAACTGGTGCTTTGGTTCAGAGTTAAATGGAAGAAGCGTCAGCGTGCTGTACCACGTGATCACACAATCGCGACTGCACACTTGTGTCAAGCAAACACATGGTGGCAGAATTGTTATATATATTTTTAATATCACCAATGAGCCACGATATTATTGCAAAATAATAGTTTCTCAACCATAAGAACCAACTACTACACAATAGACATCAGCTAAAGTCTATAGACCACATGTGCATAACAAAACCACACAAAAATCTATTCTGTAACATAACTACACAAATGACATGTTACTTAAACTTATTAAACCTATTTTAGGTGATTTTGTAAATATAGACGAGTAATTGCTGAGATTTTTTTATGAGTAAGAATGCCAGATTTAATGGGAAGCCTAAAATGACTTATTAATATTTATAAATCCATTTTATTATTTCCACATATTGTATTTTACTTTGTTGTAGGTTTATAATTGAGAATGTTAATGTCTCAATACATTTTTTTAATAAAAAAATAATATATTGTACAGTAGCAGAACGACGACATCTATTGGTAGAAAATAATAATTACGTGTATAACCTTTCACCTTCAACCTGGCAGTTTATAAACGAAACGAGGAGGAAATAATTGGCAATTTTATACAGATTAATAGCATTAGTTTTATTTTTTAAATAGAAATTATAAATAAATAAATAAATAAATAAATAAATAAATAAAAGTAATTTCCACTCAGTTTATTAATCGTAGATCGGTGACCTTTTTCGCCGCCATGCTTTGTGAACCGCGCTTGCGCACTGAGAGACTGGAGCTTAAGGTCGATTAAAGGGTTTTTGAAATTTCCATTCCAATTAATGGTCGAAAATGCCGGAGGATCACGACAAAGATGTGTATCCAGAGCCTCCCCGCAAGACTCCAGTTGTGGATAAAGAAACTACTCTACCGAATCCCGCTTTAATACTGTCTAAGCTCTTCTACTACTCGGTGGATGTGCCAGTGACCAAATTCAGAGGTGACGTGCATTTGAGACTGTTTACATCTTCTTATTCATCCAGTTTCACAAATAGTAGCCTTTGTAGTGTGAAAAGCACATTCTGGACATACATTTGTGTATATTATGGTGAACGTTATCTATCTATCTATCTATCTATCTATCTATCTATCTATCTATCTATCTATCTATCTATCTATCTATCTATCTATCTATCTATCTATCTATCTATCTATCTATCTATCTATCTATCTATCTATCTAGTTTAGGGTCCAATTCTCACTGTATTAACTAGTTGCTTATTAGCATGCATAATGTATTGGCTGTTTTTAGTACTTAAAGCACATATTAATGCCTTATTCTGCAGGAACATATTCTACATCCCTTAATCCAACCCAGTACCTAAATTTAGCAACTACCTTGATATGCTAACTATTAATAAGCAGGAGTTTATTGAGCCAAATAGCTTTAAAACGGACATAAAAAAAATTAAGCTTGTATTTTGGGTCTGTGTAGCCGCCTTTAACCATGAAAAATGCGGGTCAATTTTAATTCTCATGAAACTATGATTTTCTTTCCCTTTTCTTCATTGGTTGGTTGGTTTTTAAAATAGCAATGCAATGCATTTTGTTTTAGTTTCAGTTTTGTTTATTGTCAATTCAGTCAAATTCAAGTATACATTAAAATATTCTGCAGTGCAAATTGTATGGAGGTCAAAGATTAAAATATCTCTAGACATTGTTAACAAAACTGTAACAATCAATATCGCATTTTGTTACTAATTACATCTTAGGGTGTGTTCACACTTGGCATGTTTGTTTGGATTAAAACAAACTCTGGTGCGATTGCTCTGTTAGTGCGGTTCATTTGAATAAGTGTGAACGCTGCCATCTGAACCCTGGTGCCACCAAACAAGCGGATCGAGGCCGCTGAAAAGATGTGTCTCGCTTCGTTTCCAAACAAACTGAACAAATATGAACAACATGGACCAAAGACATCTAACCAAAAACAGTAAACACGTCACAAGATGCGACCCTAAAAAAGACAGAATGCTCAAGAATACCTGTTTTTCCTCGTCATAGTCGTGATGTTGCCCATCACAGTTCAGTACAGGCATCAGAACAGAAGCAGATCTTCATTTGTGTGTGTGACAAAGGGATTCCTGCCGCAGTTTTGAGTCCTTTACACACACAGCATTGTTTCGGTAAGTTGCGTCATGAAATATACGCAATATAAGCCTACCAATCAGGTTGTGAACATATCCCTATGCCTTTAGGTTCGGTGTTAAAATGCCAATGTGAACGCTAAGCAGACCAGGACTACATTTATTTATTTATTTTTTTGGTCCGGAACAAATGAACCAAGCGAACCGAACTACAAGTGTGAACATACCTTAAAATCTACTTGGTTTGTAATTCTTGATCCTTATTTTATTGTCCTCCTGTTTTTTTGTTTTGTTTTTTTCTACCAGGTGTTATCGATGGCATCCAGGGCGATAAAAAGTCCCACTACTACCATCAGAAGTTTCGCCGTGTCCCTGAGATAACTGAATGCCAGGAAGGAGATTATCTGTGCTATTATGAGGCCGAGATGCAGTGGAGGAGAGACTAGTATGTTCATCAAAAAAGCATTGTAGTGCTATTGTTCATATATCTCTATTTTTGCACACAATCGCTATCTTTTGTTTTACTTTTAATTTTGTGTGCAGTAAGGTGGATCAGGAGATTGTGAAGGTGATCCAGGAGCGTCTTCGGGCCTGCCAGCAGCGCGAGGGTCCCAGTTACAAACAGAACTGTAACCCAGAACTGAAGCAGTTTGATCAAGTGTCCAAGGCCTTTCAGTCACGCTGTGAGTATTTTGTCAGGTAGTAATGTTTTATGCGCAATTAGCAGTGGTCAATATACACTCACCGGCCACTTTATTAGGTACACCTGTCCAACTGCTCGTTAACACTTAATTTCTAAGCAGCCAATCACATGGCGGCAACTCAGTGCATTTAGGCATGTAGACATGGTCAAGACAATCTCCTGCAGTTCAAACCGAGCATCAGTATGGGGAAGAAAGTTGATTTGAGTGACTTTGAACGTGGCATGATTGTTGGTGCCAGAAGGGCTGGTCTGAGTATTTCAGAAACTGCTAATCTACTGGGATTTTCACGCACAACCATCTCTAGGGTTTACAGAGAATGGTCCGAAAAAGAAAAAACATCCAGTGAGCGGCAGTTCTGTGGGCGGAAATGCCTTGTTGATGCCAGAGGTCAGAGGAGAATGGCCAGACTGGTTCGAGCTGATAGAAGGGCAACAGTGACTGAAATAACCACTCGTTACAACCGAGGTATGCAGCAAAGCATTTGTGAAGCCACAACACGCACAACCTTGAGGCGGATGGGCTACAACAGCAGAAGACTCCACCGGGTACCACTCATCTCCACTACAAATAGGAAAAAGAGGCTACAATTTGCAAGAGCTCACCAAAATTGAACAGTTGAAGACTGGAAAAATGTTGCCTGGTCTGATGAGTCTCGATTTCTGTTGAGACATTCAGATGTTAGAGTCAGAATTTGGCGTAAACAGAATGAGAACATGGAACCATCATGCCTTGTTACCACTGTGCAGGCTGGTGGTGGTGGTGTAATGGTGTGGGGGATGTTTTCCTGGCACACTTTAGGCCCCTTAGTGCCAATTGGGCATCGTTTAAATGCCACGGCCTACCTGAGCATTGTTTCTGACCATGTCCATCCCTTTATGGCCACCATGTACCCATCCTCTGATGGCTACTTCCACCATGTCACAAAGCTCTAATCATTTCAAATTGGTTTCTTGAACATGACAATGAGTTCACTGTACTAAAATGGCCTCCACAGTCACCAGATCTCAACCCAATAGAGCATCTTTGGGATGTGGTGGAACGGGAGATTCGCATCATGGATGTGCAGCCGACAAATCTGCGGCAACTGTGTGATGCCATCATGTCAATATGGACCAAACTCCCTGAGGAATGCTTCCAGCACCTTGTTGAATCTATGCCACGAAGAATTGAGGCAGTTCTGAAGGCAAAAGGGGGTCCAACCCGTTACTAGCATGGGGTACCTAATAAAGTGGCCGGTGAGTGTATATATATAACACAATGGGACAAGCCCAGTTGTAATAGGTGTTGTCTAAAAACTACTTTTCAATTGACAATGAAACCAAAGCTATGTTTATATGAATGTACAGGAATTAGTATTCCGGCTGTTAACCTTCATTATTTCTTCTAGACGGGGACCTCGGCGCGTACGCCAGTGGGCGAAAGTGTTTGATGAAACAGAAGGAGAGGATGATGGCAGAGACACAGAAGGCATAAACCTCCTGTCCTTCAGCTTTTCTATGTCCGTCTCTCTCTCACCTGTGTATCAAAGTGTAAAATAAAGTTTATTGGAAAGTGACTTCTGAGGAGCTGTTATTTAATAAAATCCTGCCAGTGTCAGAGTTACCCTATATATTACTTTCCCTTCAATTCAATATCAGTTGTGTTGTTGGCTTTGTATAGACATTTCCTACATTTTAATTGGTGCTTATATGCCTTTTGCTGGATAGAGTCGGTATGAAACGGAGGTTGAAATAATCAGTGTTGGGGATAACACAAATACGAGTTACATAATCAGATTACTTTTTTTAAAGTAGCCAGTAAAGTAACACATTACTTTCAATTTACAACAAAAAAATATAAGCAAGTAAGTAAGATACTTTGTTTTCCCATGTATCGACTGACTACTTAATTATTGCAGAGGTGCTGTGTGCGCTTGTGTGAACATGATGCTTATTGTAGTTCTAGTCTAGACTAATGTGAGCAGGCATTTACTCATCTCACTTGCACAAAAACACGTTCAGTATTCCTCAAAATAAAGAAAAACAGTGAAATAATTAAATATATACACATATACTTTATGTATTTAATCTCACTTTATTAGCCAATGTGTTTGCTGCTGACCTTCAGTTGTGTTTACTTATTTTATTACTGAAGTAAGTGTATTAAACTCCCGCATCCTATTCTTCTTTAACCCAGAACGTCAGCACAGCTGAAAGGTTTGTTTGAGCTGCTCTACTGTACAGGCATGAATTAGTATTTCTTTCAGCCTGAGGCTTATTCATTTCACTTTTAGTTTGATAGGGCCTTTAGATTAGCCAAAATAGAACTTTTTTTTATTGTTATTAAAAAACAAAAAAGCAAGCCCAGCCCAGGTGAGCAAAAGTAACGGAACAGATTACTTTCCATAAGAAGTAACTAACCAAATTAGTTTTTTAGACAGTAGTGAAAATTGCAATATTGTATTAAATTACTTTTAAAAGTTACTTTCCCTAACACTGGCAATAATCTTCTTTTCTTTATTGTGACATATATCCGATTCAGCCCTCATGCCAGTAAACATGTCATCAGAGAAGAGATGACACTGCAAGAGGGATGGGGAGTTATGAATTTATATATATATTAAAAAAAAGTGCACGAATAAATCACTTTAAAATACTGTAATATTCCATTAAAATAAGAATTTTGATTTTATGGCAACTTTAAAATCTGTAAGGTGTTGTCATTCAAAAAGTTTGGGGGGGGGGAGACATTTTCGAAAGAAATGTAATTCTTCTATTCAACAAGGATGCATTAAATTGATCAACAGTGACTCGAGGGGCAATTAAGAGATTTGAGATGTCCTTCAAGATGGCATCCTTTGATCGGATTACAGAGTAGTGCCAAATTCTGTGACCCTAGTAGGCGCTGTAGTGAGGGAAGGGTTAGCTCAACACAGCTCCTACTAGGGTCACAGGCTGGACAACAGAGGAGCACGTAAACAAGCATCAATTTGAGTGTTGACAAACACCCTATATGGCAACAGCATGACCCTGTGCATAGCACCGATTTATGCCAACTAGTATAAATTTAGTTTGCATGTCAAGGACTATTATATTCTAGAAATGTAATGAATTTAGCTTAATGAAAATGAAGATCACAATATAGCATGCATCATTAATTTTAAACTGGTGATGCATGAAATATCAGTCAACATATTAGTCCGGTAAGAAAATTTGGCAGATATATTAAAGCCGATAATGGATTATTTCCTTCAGCCGAGACACTTCAGATGCGCACGGTTCGCCATGATGGATTTGAATAGCTTGAAATGACTTCTAGAAGGGAAATACAGTGAAGAGCAACGCAAGCCTGTCATAAGCTAAGCTATACAATTTTTTTAAAAACAATTTCGTGCTTGGGACATGGCGAGACTATTTTGTAATCAGGCTCTCAAATGATAAAAACTTAGATTTAGATTTATCAGCCAATATATCGGTTATCGGCTTTCAAGTATAAAGAATTATGTCAATTTTCATATCGGTGTATCCCTATTTTAAACCACCTAAATAAATTACCTGAGAAATGTAACTTGCCCACTTTGTTGGGACAGTTTTTGGTATATGCGGATCCGAAACAATCCACAAACTTATAGCAACTTTGTTGACAGCTGTTACACAACTTTAATGTCAAAGAACACACTCAACAGATGTTTACTTTCTGGACTTTTATTTCAATCCATTGTACAAAATTTAGGAGGGTGCCGGAACAGCTCCCTGAGTCCTCTGAACAGAGACCCTGGTGTGAGTCTTGGCCAGATGATCAGTGAATTCCTGAAACAAAGGAGACACTTTAGTTTCAAACAACACGATGCATTTGTGAAAAAGAATAACGTCTGGAAATGCATGGATTACCTGGTAAGGAGACTTGGCAAACACTGTTTCCTTCCAGAGATCAGGGGTCAGGTAGCTGTAAGTCTTTGAGATCGCATCGAAGGTGGCCTTGGCTGCAATGAAAGACAGCAGTTTTTAACGTTGAAATACCCAAGCATGGACAGTTGTACCTTGAAACGGTTTTCAAACAAGCCCCTCACCAAAGTTGCCCAGAGTGGCGGTGCAGCCCCTGGCAGATGTGTAGCAGTCATCGATACCAGCCATCATCAGCAGTTTCTTGGGCACGGGAGCAGACACAATGCCGGTACCACGGGGAGCGGGAATGAGACGCACCAGGACTGAACCACAGCGACCGGTCACCTAACCAAACACATATTCAGTCAATAAACACATGCTCTAATTCAAACCAAGCCAAATAAAACCGAACAACCTTTTAGGTCTCACCTTGCACGGCACTGTATGTGGTTTTCCGATCTTGTTACCCCAGTATCCTCTTCTGACGGGAATGATGGACAGTTTGGCCAGGATGATAGCTCCACGGATAGCTGTGGCTACCTCTTTGGAGCACTTCACTCCTAGACCAACGTGGCCATTGTAGTCACCAATAGCAACAAAGGCCTAAAGATTGAGAATCATGAGCGATTACGAACCAGCTGTAAGAAGTGAAGAACCAGACTATTATTGAACACTCAAGAGAAGCAAGTCACCTTAAACCTGGTGCGCTGACCAGCCCTGGTCTGTTTCTGGACGGGCATGATCTTCAGAACTTCATCTTTCAGTGCTGAGCCCAGGAAGAAGTCAATGATCTCAGACTCCTACAGGAGAGCAAAGTGTTAAGTCTTGCAAAAAGCTAAGCATTTTTATGTCACTTAGTGGAGGTCTTTATAACTTAACTCATGAAATTAAAGTAGCAACATCTCTTTTCTTCCATATTGTGATGTACATCAGAGTATAATGGATTGAAAAACACATGGTGGGATTGGTTCTACACAATTGCTTGTAATAAATATTTTTAAAGAGATCTCGGTCCCTCCATTGAAGGTCTGTTCATCCAAAACATTTAAAATATCTTAATTTGTGTTTTAAAGACAAAAAAAAGTCTTATGGATTTGGTACACAACTTGCATTGTTGGGTAATCTCTAGTTAGGATATTGATAAAACATTACATGCTTTTTTATTAATTAAAATAATAATAAAAAAAAGCATGAGCAGATGAAGTGTTCACTTCAAGATCCATAAAAGGACTTCTGGAAATAAAAATGGGGAATTTTACTTTAATGCCAATTTTAGTACCTTGATAGGCAGAGAATACAGATAGATTTCCTCCAGGGTCTTGATCTTCATATCCTTCACCAGACGACCAAGTTTGGTCACAGGAACCCACTATATGAAACAATTTAATTCTTCATAAGCACAGAAACGGAAGCTGATACAGATATACAACATTGACAGCTACTGGCATGAGGAATAAAGACCATGCGTTACAGCGAAAATAAACAACCGAATAGTACAGAATGCATGCATTTAAAAAATACCTTTAGCAAAACATTTATACATGCCAATTCATAACAGTCAGAGAGTAGGAGTAAGGCGACGCTTTACCTCTTTATCCTCAGATTTGCCTCCCCGGGCACCGCGGCCTCTTCCACGGCCTCTGCCGCGACCACGACCGCGACCCCGGCCGCCAGCGCCGAAACCTCCGCGAAAACCTCCTCTACCACCGGCGTCGTCCGCCATTTGCTAAAAACAATAAAAACATCTCCGTTAATTATACAAGTGACGCTTAATGTAAGACACATGTCAAGAATAAATGCACATGCATTACAATCCACTTGTTTGCAAATATATGAGCCATTGTAGCTATAGTCTATAACTCCGTATATGGAATTGTATAATTAACGGGAATCATATAATACAGAACGCATATTAAAACTAAATGACTAGCTACACCAGTTCTCCGCCATTTTGAGACCATCTAATATTAACTGCTCTAAAATGATATTTCTATTCAATTCATAAGACTAATTTTGCTATCGCATTGTAAGCAACCCGTACAGATATGTTTTATATACAAATGTAAAGTTTTTATTTTACGATTGCGGAGATAAAAGTAGATTCTGTTAGGCAGCGACGTGAACCCGTGTTGACTTACGTGATGTGTATTCAGGAAGAAGAAGGCCGCACGAGAGTTCAAGGAGGATTTATTCAAGTGGAGTCCTCGCGAGACTTCATATTGGCACTGGCATACAGTCGAGAGATCTGTCAAGAGATGGTCGCTCGAGCAAATAGCAATATAGGCTAGCTACAAGTAATGCCCATAGAGATAGATTATGAGAAATAAATATGTTCTGAAATGGAGTGTAAATTGTTGGTAAAAGTAAGCAAAAAATAAAATCCTGATTTGTGCAAACCGTATTGTGCCAATGTTTATCTCCAGAATTCTCCACTTCAGTGTCACTTATAGCACGCTACATAAAACTTTCCAGTTTTTCCCAAGGTTTTGGGGGTTGTTTGCCAGGTTTTATAGCCTATATCATTTTATTCATAAAAACATGGTGAAAATGTATTTTTGTCTGGCTGTTGGCAGTATTTTCTCATTTATTGCGTGATAAAAAAGATACCCACAAAAACCTTTAACTCCAATGCCAACCATAAAACATGAATTTTGAGCCTAGTGCATATTTAATTAGATAATGCCTCATTTGCAAATTTAAACAACATTCCAGAAAACTTGAAATATAAATGTTTTTATTACTTAAATGTTCACACAATTCACCTAGTGTTTTGCTGTAAATTTAGTCACTAAAGTATACATTAAAACAGTTTACATTGTAACTGACATAGCACATTAAATGCAAAACATGAAGAAGGCCAATAAAACATCACAATTCGGGGTCTCCCAAAATGGTAGCTTGCAGGTTTTAGCTGCATGTTTTAGATCAGGATCAGTAGGACATGCATAGATTAGGGCATGTTTTCTTTTACTCATCAAGATTTTGGTAAATATCTTCACAATGGTTTTGAAGACCTTTAGACTGTGGGGAAGAATGAAAATAAATGTTAGGCTAAGACGTTTTGTTACAGTAACATGACAGCAATTTCAGTCTTAAAACTCCACAAGGAGAGTGTTAGCTCCGAATTAATATTAATTTGCTAAAAAATATGCATGTGTGTTGTGAAAGAATAGTCTGAAGTGAAAACCTTGTCTTGGGAAACTTTGTAGCGTGCCTGAAATTTGTCACCACTTAAGTTCCTCTTGCACAGCTCTTGCACCACTCCACTGAAAATCACTTGGCTAGCAGAGTCCTCCTGAAAACATCCACACTTTTGACAATAACATACTGTACGCTTTACCGTTCAAATATTTGGGGTTGGTAAGATTTCTTTTTTATGGTTTCCACAAAAATATGACACAGCACAACTGTTTTCAAAATTTATAATAATAATAAATGTTTCTTGAGCATCAAATCATCATATTAGATTTCTGAAGGATCATGTGACACTAAAGACAGAATTGGTCTCGGATGGCCGAATTAGCAAATGTAGTGAACAGACTTGAAAGGGACTTTGGTTTTATTTGATCAAATAAATGCAGCCTTGGTGAGCATAAGAGACTTCTTTCAAAAACATAAAAAATATTTCCGCCCCCAAAATTTTAAGTTGCAGTGTATATGTTTTGCTATTGTGTATAAATAGGGTCAAGCAATACCTTTTTATTAGTTTTACTCCATCTTCTTTTAACAACTGAGTTGAATTGTCCAGTCTATCGATTTAAAAAAAAAAAAACATTTTAATTATTTAAATTGCATTAAACATTCTGAAAAAGTACTTTGAGAATGTAGTAAAATTCTGAGCATTAAAATGCTTGTTTAACAGCATTATAACTGCATTATTTTACTGTAACTTTAAAATTGTACCTTAATGCAGATGAGGATGCCCAGGACCAGGAGGCTGTAGACACTCAGCAGGACAAGCAGTGTCAAAAGCAGTGTTTGAGGGACGTTTAAGCCCCTCTCTGGATACAAAACAAAAATGATGTGTGTAACACAACAGAAAGGTCTGAAGGGGGTCGTGCTGAATCTTCTGCTAGTGCTTACCTGACACTTTCAAAGTGGTTCCCTGTCCGATTGCCTGCGCCCCACTGTGAGTCCCTGCCAGCAGAGCCGCTGCACAGTAATACACCCCACAGTCTGCTTTTGACAAAGAGCTGATTTTCAGATCATGATGCTCCAGTTTGTACTTCAGTTGCTGGCTTGACAAATCAATCTGGTAGTGAAAGTCTTTCCGGAACACATACCAAGAGATTTCAGGTGTTTGTTGACAGCTGGATGTATTGACAGAGCAGGGAATGGAGACAGACTGTCGCTCTTTTCTTCTCATGAGCATCGTTGGCTTTTGGACATCTAACATACATCCTCTGACTGTAGAAATTCAGAATATAGTTTTATTAAATTGAATACATTTAATTGCTGATAGTTCATATTATTAATATAGCCCAACTAATCAAGTTTTAACACTCTTAAAAGGTGCTATTTATCGGCATCAATGGTTCACCTTTAACATCCATGGGAACTGCACTAAAGGTTCTTTAGAGTGGAGAAAAGTCATTTACTAAAATGTTCTTCACACTAAGAAAAAAATGGTTATTTTAAAAAAAGGATTCTTTGGTGAACCCAAAATGGAATCGCGGCTTCTATGGCATCACTTTTCTTTTTAAGAGTGTACATACAGTATATCATTGATAAATTCGATCTCTGCTCACCTAATCTCAAAACAAGAATTGCGATGGTGAAGAGGAAACCAAAGTTCATGTTGATGTCACAGTTGTTTGTGGCTCCTGTATCTCTCTGATTGTTTTTCAATTTGTTAGTCATCGGAACAAAGGTCTCACGCCTTACTGAGAAATAAAACCAGAAATGACTTGTAGAAATGAGAAGTAACAGACCCCACCCCTCAGTTCTTCTTTCCTTGTGTAAGACTTCTAGTCACCCTGACCACAGCTTAGTGACAGCCTATTGTCACGTTCTGTTGTGTTTGAACTTTTACCCCAGGTTTCACAGACAAGGCAATAGTCCCGGACTAAAATGCATGTTTGAGGTGTTTTAACCGAAGCAACTGACATATCTTTAAATATGTCACTGCCATTGTTGTGTCTCAAGATGCACCACTAATGTTTTTTTCTAAGGCATGTTTAAACTAAATTCTAATCCTGGCTTTAATAAGCCCTGTCTGTGAAACCGGGAATTAGGCCTATAGTTCAGACTACACGACTTTAAAAGTCAGCAGATCGCTGAGCTGTTCTACGGAGCCCCTAAAGGGACATGGTGGTGGAAAAAATATGGGATGAGAAGGGACATTTTTTTTCAAAGCTTTTACGGGTTAGACTATCTATCTATCTATCTATCTATCTATCTATCTATCTATCTATCTATCTATCTATCTATCTATCTATCTATCTATCTATCTATCTATCTATCTATCTATCTATCTATCTATCTATCTATCTATCTGTCTATCTGTCTATCTGTCTATCTGTCTGTCTGTACAGCACAGAAAAAAATCATACAGAAAAAAACACAAAAACACAGAAATCAAAACAAAAATGAAAATGAAAATGACAGAGATGTTGTACATGTCAGAAAGATATCCCAAAGATTATGATTAATAATAATACAGTTTTTCTCAGTCGCTTTGGTATCGAATCATCCTCGACATTTGTAAACCAGTAAGTGCATTTCTCATAAGTGCATTTCTCAAAACAATTCGTACAAATAGCAAAACACCATGGATTTCCTGCAAAAGCCAGTCTCTTGCTCAAAATCCTTAGTTCATCTCTCAAAAGTAAATATCTGTGTCAATGAACATGTCAGTGCCATCAGAATGACAAGTCCTTGTGTCATTGTGTATACGGATAAGACAGTCAAACTGCTTAGTCATGTTGTCAATATAAGTTTTTATGACAATTACAGTTTTTCTCAATCGATTTGACACATTTTTCCAAATGAATGTAGTTGCTCTCAAAACAATTAACACAGCACACTAAACACACTCTTATATTGGCAAAACATTTCAGTATTCACTGGATAATGAAGCACTGCTTTTTATTGATGTAATGCATTTATCAAAAATAAATAGTAACATCAAAACTACAAATGTGTTCTCTGTTGATTTGATAACAAATTCAGCTGTATATACACAAAAACATAAATGAAAATAGATGTTTTTCATGCTCTTTAATCGTGCTTTTCAAAGTTCTTTAATGACGAGTTTAGTTGTATAACAATGAGTTTTCGCCAAAAAAATAAATAAATGTAGCCTATACTGCAATAAGTGAATCGATGAACTTTATAGATCTTGCCTCCCCTTCACATCTGGCCAAAGAATTTCATCAACATCACAGCATATATTTTCACGAGTCATGCATCGTGGAGAAAAAAGCTGTGAATGCTGGACTCATCCTTGTGCCTCAACTTCTCCACAGGCCTCTTCCATCGCTTGAAGAAGACTTACTTGGCTATAAGGGTTTCAAACATATACTTTTCATATCCAGCTGGGATGTAGGTGATGCTCAAACCACCGGTGTGCACCAATGCTGAATGGTGAAGTTGAAAATTGTCCCAAACAACTACAGAATTTCTCTCAATTTGCTCCTGATCACCCTGTGGAAATTGGATTTCGTCTAGGGAATTAAAGAAATGTAGAAGCCTTTCTGTGTTGTGCGGCCCCAAGACAGTATTGTGTGTGGCACAACACTAGTGGAATGTAGCACTTGTTGTCCTGGGACATTGACTGTGGTCCGATGTTTATATTGGGCTGAACTCCCTGTCCAGCTTCCCTCAAGGAAAGACCATCATTTATGACTGGTCAATTAGGATGGCTCTGATTTCATTTGAAACCCGTCTGTACCCCCATCCTTCTATCTCTCCTCCCTCATCTTACACCTTGCTCTTCCCTTCCCCTCTGTCCATGTCTTCTTATATTTTGTTCTCTTGCTCTAATACCATTGTCTTCCACCATCTCTTCTCCCTATACTCATCTTCCGCATCCTCAGCTCTTCTCCTAAATCCACAACTCTTCTTGCTCCATCTCCTCTAACTATACCATCTATTCCTTCCCCCTCATCTCTTTCTACCTCCTCCCCCTCTCAATATTACCCTTCCTCTATCCTCTCCAAAACCCCTCACTCTACACCTCTTCCTTTTCCCAAGCTTCCCCCCCCCCCCCCTTTTTTTTGGTAAAACCAATAAAAAGAGCTGCAATTGTTTTTTCCTGATATATTAGTAAAGTTTTGGTTGGCTGTACAAACTATGAAAACATTTGAGAATTTTGTGCACAGTGTTTTGAGAAAATTATGCATGTGATTTGTAATTTGCATGAAATTAAGGAAAATGTACAACCTATTTAGGACAATTACAAAGTGTTCAGATCACTGTGTTAACTGTTTTGAGAACAGTGACCTGAGTTTGAAGAAATGTGTCAAATTGTTTAAGAAAAACTGTATTGTAAATTGTAGGTTACACACCTTAGTGTATATGTGGGAGTTTGATTGCAAGAGACTGGACAAGATTCACATTTACGCTGTTTGTACTGTAATTTGTTGACAAACCATGTCATTGCAATACAGGAAAAGACAGCACTGCGTAGCACAAAGAAAAAACAAAACAAAAGTAGAAATGTGAACAGGACAGATTTATAAAAAAACGTCTAATGGAAAAATGTATAGAAATATGCTTGCTTGACAATTTTTCAACTATTTTGCATGTAAAGATTTATGCTTGAACTAATGTCTAAATGTCGTGGTGGGCGAGACTATTCAACAGAGACCCATTATAATACATTTTGATCAACATGACAAAAGTAATTGATAATAGGAAACAGCAGAGAATTGTACATAATCATTTGCATGGATGTACCAAAGCATTTGCAACTTGTTCAAAGAAATGAGAAACTGCTTTTTTGATGTGCACAGCACAAGTGACACAATGATGTGAAGATTAAACAGGTAGTTTTGAGAATTTCGATTCTGATCTGAGAAATGTAACAAAGCGACTGAGAAAAACTGTAATAATCATTTAAGCAAAGTAATTTATGTAAGGGAGGCTGGGGCGTGGTTATGGTTAAACTCGTGGAGCTCGCGGCCGCATCAACTACTACTCCCAGCATTCATTGCGATTTCGCTGTTGGCCACGTCACGTCCACCGGCCACGTCGCCCCTCATTCGCCATATTTCGTGGAGGAATGCTCTGCTGGAGATCGGCACTCAGCCGGTTCGCAATTGCTTCACTCACCCTGAGCTCTCTTTAACGCCACTAAAACCAGCCAGAGAGGTAAAATCATCATGAATATCTTTAGGCTGACTGGAGATCTGTCTCATCTAGCTGCCATCATCATCCTGCTGCTCAAGATATGGAAGACCAGGTCCTGCGCAGGTGAGCTAAACTCACACGAAATATACTTTTCTCATTCATTTCATACTAAATACCCGTGTTTATCAAAGATAGGAAAGACTTTAAACTAGGTTGAGCTGCCCGGAAAAGTCTTTGTGATTTAATATTAAAGCATGAAGCATAAAATGAAGTAATTTGTGTAGCATCATGCAAGCTAACGGTAGTGGTTTAGCTTGACTTGAGAGCAACTGGTCTACATTTTTTTTTTTTGAATTAAAATTCAATTTGGGTTTGGATGGGCAGATCTGTATGTATATATCTTGTGACGCTAATGTTTGCTTATATATATTTGAAGGTAACGTTACAGGCTACACAACATCCTTGTTCTCAATAAAGTGGCTAAATTAGCTGAACTTAAGGCCTAACGTTACTTACTTTGCTGTTTAATATTAGATTACTTGGTAGTTGGTATGTATGTGTATATAATATATATATATATATATATATATATATTACACACACACACACACACACACACACCTTTTTACCATGGAGAGGACAAGTTGCATCTTCATATCTTGAATTGTGAGAGTCAAATAAGTGCTTTTTATATAGTTGAAGTCATGCATCTTAATTTTGCCCACCATTTATTTGCCTTACATTCCTGAAGTGCATTGCATTCCTTGACGTGGCAGTGCATATTGTTTTGTGTGGGCTTTGCAAGGATGGGTCACCTGGGTAGTCTATGGTTTTCTTTATTTTGGTCCCTAGAGAACCTAGATGCAACCCTTTTGAAGTGTTTATGAGCTCGGTATTCAGTAAAAAACGCCATTGTGTGCTCTTATTTGTTTTTAAGTAGTTGTCTGAGTGTAAGTGTTTTAATCCCCAGGTATCTCTGGGAAGAGCCAGATACTCTTCGCCTTGGTGTTCACCACACGATACCTGGATCTCCTGACATCCTTCATTTCTCTTTACAACTCTAGCATGAAGGTAAACGCATAGAGTGAACTTTTACATGCAGACATCAATACATTTGCCAATCTTAAATGGCCACATCCAAGTAAACAGTTGAGTGTGTTTATATGTGCACTGTTAATCAGTTGAGTGCTTCTGTTCTGTTAAAACAGATCATCTACGTTGGCTGTGCCTATGCCACTGTCTACCTGATCTATGCGAAATTCAGGGCAACCTATGATGGAAACCATGACACTTTCAGAGTGGAGTTTCTAGTGGTTCCAGTGGGAGGCCTCGCCTTCCTGGTCAACCACGACTTCTCTCCGTTGGAGGTGATTATTAGACTCTTCACTGCACATTTGCAAATAATGAACCATTGATGAACCCATCATTATCATGCAATCACAATAATTAAAAAAATAAGACTAGTCTAACCCCCCCAAACACACACATATGCAATCCATTTAAATTAGACTACTTGATCTATGAACAGCCAAACCCCATCCTAAATGCTGCTAAAAACAGGGCAGATATATGCCAATGTGCTTGCGTTGCATTATGATAATTGTATATTAAACTTAAAGGGGACATATTATGCCCATTTTTAAG